ATAGTGTTATTTATTTCAAATGATATTTACGTTGCGAGCAACAAACAGAGTTGATTATAGTCTGAGCTTACATTCAGGGCCTCATCGGATAAGTCATTTAAAATATCGTATATTACAAACGCCGTCCACTAACTTAAAAATTCCTCGTATCTGCGAATGCGTAATTATAAAAGAAAAAAGAAATCTCAATTGAGGATACCCGCTGTTCAATAATTCTCTAGTAAAATCTGCGCGAAAGCGTACGTACTCGCATATACGACACAGCGCATTACTTGTTCCGCAAAAAGAAGCAGATATCCTTGTCTTTACATATTTGAACTTAATATAAAATGAAATAAAAAGATCGGTGTATAACGGCAGGTGGGCTCTTCTAGATACATCTCTTTTCGACGTTGCATGCTTTTATGAATTGCTTATTAATTTAACTACGCTTCTTTCGACATTAAATGATTTAAATTTATTTTTAACAACAACCGGACTTAATTAAATACGTACGTTAATGCCTTCACATCGTAATTCTATCCTACGATCCAATAACACAATGGAATTGTAGACCTAGTATCGAAGAAACGATGTTCTATTTCTCTCTGCCGTGTAAACTTCATAAGCCAACATGTTTAACCTTAATCAGCATGCAGATCATCTGTCGTGTCTAATAAAGTGCGGTATTGTATAGTAACTTGTGATCATCGCTTGAAATTATGTACCAGTCTTTACTGCCGCATTGCTGGTAACAATTCCGTACTTCTAGTTAGTTTGATTCATCAGAATTCATGTCACTAACATTACGCATTGCTAGAACAGGAAGATTGTGACATCTCTCATCATTTAGACTCACTGAAAAACAAAATTAAGTATTTTATTTACATGCTCCCTCGTCTGCCTTAATTTCTTGTTTAACAAGATGTACAAAAGCTGAACAGTTGTCAAGTGACGTCTTTTAAAATTATGCGGATATGGTATTACCATTATTGCATTCCACCGTTGTAACTCTAGGTATAACAATATTGAATTGTTTTTATTATAATACTTGTTCAACGATTTCTGTATAAAATTTAATTGGGTTTAATTTTAATTTTTATGATTGTGGGATAACCTGTTCTTGTGTGTTTCGTTTTCGAAAGCGTTTATTGTATGTTGTAAATATTATATTTTCTCACATAGCTCTATGTACGTCAGTAAGGTCTCGTTATACCTGGCGGTTTGTTAAATATGTAAATATGACATAAAGCAAGAGCTGTGGGAAATGTTGCCAGTCCTTGGCCTACTACCGGGCAGGTGGAACTGGACTCCCACGAACAACAATTGATGTTTCTGTCAAAAATTACACATCGGCCATATTTGACTTGAAAGCTACCTCGTCACCGGTTTTTAGATATTTTTCGCTTAAATGTCAACTTTGCATTTTAATGGCCTCTTCATTTTAAACTCGACTACAAATGGTTTGTTATTAGACAGTTTTGCGCTGATGAACAAATACAAGCCAATATGGCCAAAGAAAATTTAACACTCAAAGCTGTGTTTTTATTCCAGACATTTTATTTTGTACAAATAATTTATTTTACAATCACCTGTCTGGTATTCAATAATTGCATACCTGGTCGCAATAAAATGATCATTTTAAGTTTACTTTACGGGATACCTTTAATAAAAATAGACCGTGGGACATGACGAAAAATTTTTGTCGCGTGATTCTATTGCACCTCTTTAAAAATGTCTTGCAACCTACTAAATTTCTACTTAAACCCAATATTGCATATTTAAGTAAAGCATGTATGTGACAACAATTGTGGTATTAATAAAACTTAATAATATGGCGTTATTCAAATATCTTATGATGTCATATGTGTGTTCTTATGCGTGTAGAAGGCCATCTCATCTTGTAGCTTGATAGGCACCTATATCTAAGTACATTATGCCTCCATTGTTTATTTTTGACCTTAGTATAAATATTTCAACGCATATAACACCTACTAATTTAATTATAAATTACAATGAGGTGAGGAAAACACTTCAGAAGATATTAAGGGAAATTTCCTTATGGTGAAACAACCGCGATAATGTACTTGTACCCTAAGTTTTGTGCTTCGTTTTTTACATTTTTTTGGGACCGCGCCTGAGTGGATCATCTTGACAGCTCGGTTTCTCCTTTAGCACGAAGGTGAACGTGGGCCATTAAGAGTTTATTAACACCGTAATAAATATTTTGAAATCGTGCCATACATACCATGCTATGTACGCGTTTGGAATGATACTTGTACCTGCAGTTATTTGTTCCTAGGAATTTCAAAAATTTGTAGAAAAACTCTGTGTGTGTTCGTTCAGTACAATCTAGAATAAATTTAAAAACTAACTTTTCATGTTAAAAAGTAAATGTATGTTTTTTTTTAATAAAAAATATTCTAAAAATCATAAATTACTTTAAGCAGTGTTCGTGAGACACCTGTCATATAGTATAAACTAAACGTTTATAGAATTTTGTGTTAGGAATTCAAATGATCTCATAAGCTTATTTTAAGGCAGTAGTTATAGATTTAATATGTTATACTATATTAGATTCGGTTTCAATAAATACGTAATCGGAAACCTTCACATATCATTTAGAAATTAATGGAATGAAAAGTAATTTAAACAAAAATAAATAATTCTGGAAAAAAATGTATTAAAACAAAAGTCTTATCCTTTAAACGAGCAATTCTTGTATATATATATATATATTTTTTTTTTTTCGCACCCGAAAGAGAAGCGGCTCCAGCGATTTTCATGAAATTTAGTATGTGCGTAGATTCGGGGGCGAAAAATCGATCTGACTATCTGTTTCATTTTTAGAAAATGTCCTTTTATCCCTGTTTTCAGGGAATGAAAAATGTCATTCGAATATGACGGTAAATTTCGCTGCAAAAAAAAATTTATAATAGCTCGGTCGGTAATTGTCGGCGGCCCCAAAACAGACGGCCGCGGTTCGTATCACGATCATTTACACACTTATTTTTTTACCTTTTTTTCGATTCCAGATCATTGCTTTCTTTATTTTTTATTTTTTGTCGATTTGTTATTTTTTTCCCCTTTCTTTAAGTTCTTTCTTTTGTGTAAAACACCAGTTCAAATTTCCTTATTATTACGTCAGTAAGATCGAAAAATATTATGCATATTTCATTACTCAGTAATTTGTATCTAAATGTAATTTCCAAAATACATGATTTACCAAAAAAAAAACAAACCGAGCAAAGCTCGGTCTTCCAGGTACTTCACCATTATATAACCAAACTGCATATCACATTGCGCAGCGATAGAAATATATAATAGTTTCCCAATATCATATCTATATAACAAATATAAATTCTACTAGCTTTATACTAACAAACTGACGAAAAACACGTTCTTATCGGTACTGTAAGGCCAATGTCTAGAATTAGTCATTACTGTCACGTATCGGTTCCTGAGAGAACCACTTCCTAAAACGGCCGACGCTGGGTCCCCTTCGCCACGTGCACTGGCACATTCGGTCGGAGAGCCGGGTTGTCGAACCGCGGCGCAATCGCGTCACGCGAATCAGTTACGACACGCACGCCTGAAGACGTTGAGCGTGGAGATGGCGGTGTTACGATATAATATGAGTTGTTGCTTGATGATTGCTACTTCTATTTACATGAATTGACCGTGCTGTCTAGATGTACGATGTTGCGGGGGTTTTTTATTATTTTCCGTGGTAAAAAGTCGTAAAACCATTCGAGGCCGTAGTCCAGAGCGCGTTGCTGTATTAATCTCTTACAAAACGCACACTTACATTTTAAATTATCTAAATGACATTCGAATCACTGCCGACGATTCAATATGAATATAGATAGCAGATAATATAATATAGAAGATACATTAGCTCTCAATCAACATTTTTTATATATTGAATGCCTTTTATTGCAACCAGTCGACGGGCAACGTTGGCTTTAAATGAACCTAAGGTCATTTGGAAGAGCTGAGAGAAACCAGTGTAATGAGATCTTCCCTTCGTGCATTAGACCTTTCTCATGGTAACATCGATAAACTAAAGTGTCAGTTCCTTTTATAATGGCGCATGGACCGTTGGAGTAGATACGCTCACCTAGCCTTGCGCTCGGTACGACCTTACGTCTAGTGAAATTGGACCGGTACGACGTGTATACCAGTCCTACTGCACTCGTGTTCGGTATTGAGGCTAACTTATTCAATTGCCGCCATTTTCTCGGCGTACAATACTTATTACACATGATTTAAGCCCAATCCATTTATTGTCAACACCCATCGAATTAAATTATACCGTCTATCCATTATTAATGATCATCATGTCACGTGCATAACTCGATTGCTTATAGCAGCAGTAAGCCACCCATCGCTGATATCTCCCGGCTGGTTTCCGCGTGTCATGGCGACTTTGTCGTAGGTAAGAAATTTTGCGGAAGCCGACGCCTTCCGACTCCGATAATTGGATTCGTAATATTAATCTTTTCGTTTTGATTGAATATTTTTAACAAGTTAGATGTTTGTATACGATTAACTCTATAAAGTAACAATAATGACATTATGCGTCACGAGGGCTCAACAGAATATATAAAATCTTTAGATTGAACGACCAGTGGCCTTGGCCACAAAAATTTTATTCATAACCAACAATTATGTTCACGAAAGAAAATTTCCATATGAAAACAATAAACCTAAACCAAAACATGACTTAAATCAGATTTACGCGGTATTTAAAGATTATGTTCCGAACGGAACTTCCGTCTTACACACCTTGTACGCCCAATATTCTTACATCTCAATACTCACATACTCATAGACGCGGTCGAAACATTCCTACGGATGAGTCACTGAGTGCTGCTTGTTGTAACAATGAGCACGCTTACCGTTCGTAGGCGCCGCTGCAACAGTCATATCCTCTAGCTGACTCATGCCACTGACGTGTTTTAGGTAAATGACAAAATATATAGACCGCATAAAGATATTAAAGTATTTCTTTGTTTCAGATTACTTGCTCTCTGTATCTACACCGTCGTTGCGGATGTAGATATAATAACAGAACCGCGCCCAGGGGAAGAATATGTATTAGTTAGTTCAGGTCAACAGACACCGTTGAGAAATTTCGAAACATCACACAAAATACCCGAAAAACACCCACAACATCGAGTAATTAAACAAGACGAGAACAATGACAAAATTATTAAAAAAATATACAGTGGGAAAATCAAACACCCAAGTGAAGGTATTATATCCATTGAAGAGGACAAAAAAGCCTTATTTAAAAAGGGACAAAAAATTAAAGCATCGGATTCGATAGAAATCGACATACCCGTATCGAAGTTAGAAGACATTAAAATAAAGGAGAACGTCAAGGATGTAGATACTAATCCTAAATTGGCAGTTGCTTTAGAAGCAATGTCTGAATCCGGAAAACTGAGTAATAAAGCCGCCACGACTACCCAGAAACCAGTTTTGACAACGGATGCAGCTGGTATTACCAAAGCCTATGACTACATTCCTATTAATTTTGATACCATAGATGACATCAACAGTGGTTTATTATCCTCTAACATCAAACTAGAAACAGCTGGTTCTGAACAAAAGCAACACTCAAGGATACAAGTTAAGAAAGGCCCTAATGGCCAAGATTACGAATACGAATACATTTACTATTATTATGATGAAGATGAAGAAGGCAAAAAAGATGAAAATGAAAAGACGAGTGTTACTACTACTACTACTAGTACAGAGAAAATACCAGAATCTACACTCAACTCTCATGATGGGCCAGCGAAGTTAGAATCTGAGAATCAAATAAATAAAGACAGTAAAAGAAGTAAATATAGCACTATTGACAGATCGAGTGCTACCACTGCGGCAAGCGCTACAGTGCAAAATGAAATTTTACCCACAGCGAGCCGAGGTCGTTCCCGTGGTCGTAATATAGCCCCGGCACCAGTAGACGAAGAGATTGAAGATGAAAGGTAATATTTTTATTGAGTAAAAATATGCATTACACGTAAAAAGGGAACATCAGCTTCTATAACTGATTCTTCCTGCATGATTATGTGAGCCGACCGGGGAAATACTACAGTCTTCTAATTTTTGTAAGGGATGCTAACTTAGCCTGTGCTAAGTGCCTGTGCACTCGTAATATCTCTGAGGTACCGAGTGCCTTTGCTAAGTTGGCATCCCTTCGAAATAAAAATTAAAAAACATAGTAAAACTACTTAAAGCGAAAAATTATTAATCGTTTCTCAACTCCCTATATAAGGCTTCCGTCAAGTACTCGTTTCCCGCCTCGTGGTCGTAACTTAGCTGCAGGCACGTCTACTACTACCCAAGTGCCGGAAACGACGTCGGAAACGATTAAGCATCGAGGCCGTCCACAAAGCGACAGTGTTGCTGACGAATCCATTGGCCAAACAAGAAGTAGAGCACGAGCTCATATCAGGTAACTTAATATAATACTACTATGCAAAAATCTGTAATTGAATGGATTCTAATAAAATGATTCCCTTAATTTTTAGACGACCGAGTTCAGAGCTCGTAGATCTTGATAGTTTCAAGACTCACTCAGGGGACATTCCGTCTCAATACAAGGAGCCCCCTACGAGATATTCTTCCGAAAGCAAATCTGCAGCTGAAGTCACAGAAGAACCATCGCATTCCACAGACGCTTTGAGAGAAGGTCACAGTTTAAGCGGCAATATTATATTCCAAGAAATATTAGACGATTCGAAATTGCCCCCCGATTACAAGCAAACTACAACATACGATCAGGATACAACCGAGTACACGACAATGACCGCAATGGAAAAGGTCGCCCTCGATCTATACGCTTACTTAGCTGGTGAAAACTTGAACAACGAAGTAAGCTCAACTAACGACATGTTAAGTTTTGATGGTTCTTCGACCACTGTTAATGACGATGCGTGGACCACCGAACTGATTTCCACCACTGAAGAGGACACAACTACCAGCACTACTACTACGACCACCACGACCACGACAACCACAACCACCACACCGGCCCCGACGACGACGACCACTACGACGGCAGCGCCATCTACGCGCCCTTCGAGGTTTAAGGGACGCCCAGGAGCTCGTGGCCGTGCTTCGGTTTCAACAAGCGCTGCCACCGAAGCTCCGCAAGAAACCGCCACTAGAGCCCGAGGTACAAATCAAATTTCAACTATCATTACTTGTTAATAGAAAAAGACACGATAACAATGTTTAACTCGTTCCGGATACGGTACACTCGTGTTGTTTCTTCGAACTTATACTATTTCAAGACTTCTTCGGGACGTGCAGAAATCATAAGATTTCTTTTAATTTTTCAAATCCTGTTGACATGTTTGTCGTGAAGAGAAAGTTGTCGTCACGTAAGCTACAAAACAGGCTCTTCACGCGGCCATTTTACTAGCTAAGCTTTCAATAATTATCTCGATTAGTTTTATCTTTATTTAGCCTGTAAGATATAAAGATGGCGCGAAAGCGAAATGTCTATTATAGCTGTTATGTTGCCTTGCGATTGTATTGTGTAATGCGAAGTGATGAAACGGTGTTTAACAGCAATTTGTTTCTTTGTAACTCAGTGACCAGTATGTATAATTTTATATCTATTCAGGAATAATTTAGTTATGTTATAAAGAAAGGAGATATGCAATGATTATAAATTAATAATTACTACGTAATAGCAACAAATTGTTAACAATGATATAATTACGAAAAAAAAAAAACATTTAACTATTGAAAAAAAAATATTATATATGTTTTCCATTGATAGAATATATAATTAAAATATTGTCCCTGCTTTACATAAGGAAAGAGTAAAAATCCCCTAACATGCGCTTGAAATTATTATACCGATTTTTCTTGATTCTTTTTTTTTTTTCAATTAATCAAAAATCTTTATTCAAATAGACGCTTGCGCGTTCTTACGAATCGTCAAATTTTACATATAGGTTCGTAAGGTACCACCGGTACTTAATCATACTTTACTTTCCGCCTAACTTAATTATCAATCAATCAAAAAAAAAAGAATTATGCACATTTTAACACAGTACTGAAGTTCGATCTTTAGTGCGTAATTGAACGCGAACATATCGAGGAGAGCGCGTGTGATGCGATAGGTTGTTTCTGCGTGTGTTCGCGTGGTACGTGTTTCCGGTCAATAAACAGCCGTTTCCCAACAGGTCGATTCGGGAAGCCAAACGGCGGCCGGAAGACCACAGCCGCCGCATCAGCCGGTGCACCAGCCGCCACGGACTCCACCTCTGCGTCCCCTGTCGACAAGCCGACGGCCCAACCTAAGGTCTGCATCCGTACACTGAGTTTTTCGAATGCGAATATTGTAAAATACCCCTTGCGCCTGCGACCGTTTGCATTTTATTAACTGCATGCGAATTACCATACGTTTATAGACGTTTTTTTTGCACTCGCCTCATATCGTTTTCGCCATCGGCATACGAGATATGTGAAATTTTAGAATTTATATAACATCTACAAGCTGGGAATGAGTATTGTCACTTGATGAATGACGAGATGATTCAACCAGACGATTAAGATGTTTTATATTGAATGACACTTTAGTCGATATTGTTTACGCTGCATTTAAAAAATAAATCATGTTTTTAAAAAAAGATGACATTTTTAGAGCTACTAACACATAATTATAATTAAATATGTACAAAATTTTACTCAACTTTTGCCTTCGACTATGACAAATAATATACTGACCAGCTACGGCACATTGTATGCAATTCTACTATAGGATCGGTTAAAACCTTCATGTCCCATTTCAAGCAATCTCTATCTAAATCCAATTTTGAGCACTCAATAATTCATGTTCGGCAAATATGAATCTTTTTTTATAATTAGTGTCATTAGAGTACTATAACATTTTTTAATCTTGATTCGTTGTTCAAATATAGACCATACCAGTAGACAATTTTTCATATCCCTTGGCGTTTCAAAGTTGATTAAAGTTAAAATTTTAGTAAGTTTTATCTTTGTAATATAAGTTTAGAAGCTAACGGGTTTTATTGTGATGAGCTGTCATATATGAGCTAAAAAAATATCGGTGATATTTAAAACGCTTTTATTTTATATTACCAAATTATTATAAATTAAAAGAGTCTGACTCGACTATTATCCTCTGCGTGGTTTCCAAATTATCCACTACAGGTGTCTTTGTATAGTTAAAATTTGGCACACGTATATCTTATCCTTTAAACGAGCAATTCTTGTATATATATACATATATATACAGCGTGTCGTTACCATCGCGACAATAAATGAACACACGTCTAACGCTACTTGCCAATAATCATAAAAAAATATTAACGTTAAACAAAATCCATTTTTCAAACAAACTAATTAAGTAAAAAAGAAACAATATTTGTAACATCCTATACAACTCGCGCCACAGCGTCGCATTACAAGCCTCTCCTTCTAACAGTATGTTTTGTCTCTTTTAAATTAATTCAACCCATTCATAAGCTTTGTGACCTTTACAGATGAACTTTACGTTACGCTTTTATAGGTAAGGGTGTTCTAAAAGTCTTTGTTTTGTAAAATTTAATAACTCTGTAAATATTGATGTTTAAAGAATTTAAATGTTTAATACAACTTTAAAAAGTTATCCCCTATATGTGTGTTCTTTTATTGTCGTGATGGTAACGACACGCTGTATATATATATATATATATATATATATATATATATATATATATATATATATATATAATCGGAATGTCGGAAACGGCTCCAGCGATTTTCATGAAATTTAGTATGTGCGTAGATTCGGGGGCGAAAAATCGATCTAGCTAGGTTTCATTTTTAGAAAATGTCCTTTTATCCCTGTTTTCAGTGAATGAAAAACATAATTCGAATATGCCGGTAAATTTCGCTGCAAGAGAAAATGTCATAATAGCTCGGTCGGTAATCGCGCGGCCCCAAAACAGACAGACGGCCGTGGTTCGCGTCACGATCATTTACACATTTATTTTTTTACTTTTTTTCGATTCCAGATCATTGCTTTCTTTATTTTTAATTTTTTGTCGATTTGTTTTTTTATTATTTTTTTTTAAAGTTATTTCTTTTGTGAAAAACATCAGTTCATATTTTCTTATTATTACGTCGGTAAGATCGAAATTATTATGCATTTTTCATTACTCAGTAATTTGTATCTAAATGTAATTTCCAAAATACATGATTTACCAAAAAAAAAAAAACCGAGCAAAGCTCGGTCCTCCGGGTACTATATATAAACGTTGTATGTATATAATGTATATAATACTGAATACATTAATTGTTTATATAAACCCGAAAGCAGCTTTCGATTCATTTAATATTATATAAAATCTATGATTTCATTAAAAAGATGATTTAAATATGTATGCTCAATAAAGAAGTACTGAATAGAAATACGGAGAAATCCCCCAAACGCCGTTTAGATGTTAAGTAAAATTTCGGCAGAGTCAATCTTTGTTTTGTTTATTAGCAGTAAAGTAAAAGAAAAAAAGAAACGTGCCTCTAATTATTTACACATGTAAGAAGTTATATTTCTTTAGCGAATAAAAGAAAATAATTAAAAATTTTATCCCCTGTACCAGTAGGTACTCTTTTTTGTTTTTCAAGTTATACTTCTTTACGCACGGTTGGAAAAAAATAATATGAGCGTAAAATTTTTACGACGCGAGCGTACAATGACATCGACATGTAGAAATTGGTTGCAAAACTTTACGGTATTACCATGGCAACCAATTACACCTTTTTGACATTTACCATTTTGACATTACATTTTATTGAAGTTAAACTTCCAACAAGGTTGCGTTAAACGTTCGACGCTCCTTGGGAAGGGGAATAGAAAGAGACAGAGCGAGAGTGAATGCGTGGCACTCGAAGTTTCACTTCCGCGCGGAGGGACTCCACGCACTATCATATTATTCAAAATGTTTATTTATCTTTTGTTAAGCTAAAGAAGTATAACTTCTTACGTGCGTACATAAGAACACACATATTCTAAATATTACTATATATATATATAGGTACCTACATGTATACCTATAGGGTTCCACAGCGTTGCATTTACTCGAAAATATTTTCAACAGTGCGCTTGCCATCTGTCGGTCGTCGGCTCTATTCATAACCATGTTTACGTGATTTAATCAGCTTTCACTTTTTGTCACGCAAATATGTTGATATTTTTTTTCAACAAAGTCACGACATTTCATTATTCGATATATAGATATATAACTAACTGTTTAAGTGGTGGTGGAATAATTTAGTTTTGTACAAATATCGATTCAAGTGGCAGTCTATGGGGGAGGCCTATGTTCAGTAGTGGACTCAAACAGGCTGAAATGATGATGATGATGATCTAAGCTGTTACGTTATTGTACTCATAGTGTGTACATACACATAATATGTAAGTCGAGAACAGTCATGATTTATTGCACTGTACAGATCACTCGTGCCGATAACAGCTTTCCTTCTCGACCTAGCGAATTGTACAAGATTTGAATATAAAACATTTTATTCTTTAAGCCCAGATGGATTATTTCATGCGGGAGAAGAGAATCCTGGTTGATTTGTTCGGTTGTAAGTGAATTCTATTCGTTTGTTGCAGGGCTATGGTCGTCGAGGACTGTTTGCGGGCAGGACGCGCCCCAGCTCCACCACAGCCGCGCCATCACAGGACGCATCAAACGCACCGACCGAAGTCTCTGCGCCTAGGTAGTGTTACACAATATATTTACAATAATTCCAATTTAATACACAACAAACATTCGTCGTTGGCGCCATTGGATAATTTTCTTCTGATTATTTTGTTTTGTAGGTCTCATTTCGCATAGAAATTAGCGCAAATTGAACGAGGAATGATATGTTCAAGTGGTAATTGTTTTTAGCGCATATCAAGTGGCATCATTCGTTAGGCAATTGAGCCATCGAGGCGTTAATATCACTACAAAAAGGTCTTATCAAAATATGCTGGTCAATAAAACTTGCTCCAAGGTAATCAGAGCATGTTCTTGTTAAGTAACAAAATGCTAGTACGTTCACCGTAAAACTCGTATAACGAAGTAGTGAAGTAGGATTGGTTGCTTTAAAAACTCTTGATACAAAAATTTTAAATTAAATGATAAGACACACATTATTTCATAACTGTGGTACGTAGAACTAGAATTCTTCAAACATCTTCATCTTCAAAAATCAAAAATCTTTTGAAATATTTAATTTTTTTATTTTACAAATATGCGTGAAGCTTACGTGTATGCATTTAGATGGTTAATTTAAGTCCAAACATTCTATCATTTCTCTATAAGGTCCGATTATGTTTAATTTCATTAGGAGATAACGTTAAACGAACATTAACAATATTATCTAATAGGTTTTCCAGCAAGACCATCAGTGATTTGTCTTAAAACAGCTATCTTGCAATTTAAAGCCACCATAGCACGTTAGTGATGGGCTATGCATATTCTTTGCTGCAGAGCCCGTCTGCGCCCTGGATTGAGGCGAGGTCTGACCACTGCTGGCACAACAGTGGCTCCATCCTCCGCCGCCTCAGGGTCTTCGGCAGAGGAGACTACTGGCCCAAGCGCAGGCTCCGGCGAGGTCGCGGAAACCACCACCGCACTCGTCAGAACCATCGGGTACGTAACGGCTCATCGGTGGCAGTAGCAGCCTCCGATGTTCGTGAAGCGTACGTCCTTCTGCGTTTCGTCGTTTGACGTCACTACAATATGTTAAAATTTGTAGAAACATTTTTGATGTGAAACATCTATAGCCGCACGTAAAACCGAAAATTTCTGGCGTGGCGACGCATGCCGTGGCGACGCGTCGCCACGCTATATGATGGTATATATATATATATATATACAGTCTATATGCAGTAGTGTGTACGGTTAATTACTCAAATTTAAATTAATTGTTAATAATTATTAATTAATTAAATTAACTTTAATTAATTGTGTGTACTATTACCGAAGTCACTGATTAAACGAATTAAGTAGTCACGATTTGAAATAAATTCGTAAATTTTTGTATTTAATGAAAATAAATGTTTAATCAATAAATAGTCATCGTTATCTGGAAAAAAGTCGTAATATTTTATTTTATCATTATGACATATTCCTATCACAATCTGTTCTTTTCTGCATATTACTTTTAGAAAATAATGTCGATGTTTCACATCTGCCAGGCGTCCGCGACGGCTCATTTTTTTCGCTGTTGCGAGAATCGAACCCAAGTCTTCCGGATACGCGTACGGACGCTTTAACCACACTAAGCTAAACAGCAGATTGCCACACCGACGCAAAACGCAACATATTCTTTTTATATTGTTTAAAAATATATGTATATCCCTGCTATAGGATTACATTCCTTATCCGCAAGGGCGTTTCACGAACAAATCAAACGTGGGCGTACTGGAATAGATGTTTGTAGATCGAATAAATACTTGTATGGTTTGAACCGAGCCGACAGCCAGCCATATCTGTACCAACCGTGCCTTCATGACTGTGAAAGCCAAGACCTACCCCCATTAGATGGTCAACAAGACAAGCACTCATGCGCCATTAGGCGAAACTTGCACTTTGGCGGATTAAAAATGTCGTCTCAAAAGCCGAACCAGTGGCTATAGGTGACGTAAGCACTCGACCCACATTTCACTGGAGCCTGTTTGTGCAAGGTCAATGGGCCGATTCGCAGTGCAAACGAAAACGGTACCGTCCTTAAGCGGTCCTTTTAAATACACGCCACGGGCGAACAAATCGGCCTGTGATAATCTGACAGAGAGTTACAGGGTCTAGGGTATAGCGATGTGCGATTTGTTCCACTATAATTTTTTGATTAGTAAAATACAAAAAAGGCCACGTCGGACTCGCGCACGGAGGGTTCCGTACCTACATCTATAAAAATGACAAAAAAATCATGCCTGTTGTATGGGGGCCCCATTTAAATGGTTTTTTATTCTGTTTTTTAGTATTTGTTGTTATAGCGGAAACATAATCATCTGTGAAAATTTCAATTGTCTAAATATCACTGTTTATGATACAGCCTTGTGACAGACGGACGGACAGACAAAAACCGAATCTTAGTAAGAGTCCCGTTTTACCCTTTGGGTATGAAACCCCAAAAACGGAAAAAGGGTTCATTTAAAATGACAACCTGAATGGCGTAGTGGCTAGTGTACCTGCCTCCTGCGCTATAGGGTGTGGGTTGGCCCCGACTACTGGAAAAATATTGTGTGCATAACGCAATGAGCATAATAGTATGAACATAGTATTTTCTAGTGTCTGGGTGTCTACATATGTATAATATGTGTTTATTTACAAAAGAAGAAAGAAACGTTTAAGTATGTTTATCAGTTATGTAGCTCCCATAGCGCAGGCGTTTCTTAGTTTGGAGCTAGAGGACGTTGTCTCCTAAAATATATATTAAATTTATTATTATTAAATATCCAGCCGCAGGCCCGGCCAGCTGCGCCCGGTGCCGTCCCTGCGGCCCGGGCCCAGGCTGAACCTGAGGCCGGGCGCGCGCGCCAGGCCAGGCCCCGCCAGCGCCGCGCCCACAGACGCCGCGGAGACGCCGGCGGCCGACGCCTCGCCCTCCGACGCGCCCGCCACGCCGCCCGCCGACGCCGAAACCGAGGTGGGCCTCTCTTTTGTTACCCGACTGCGCTAGCAGGAGGCTTATGTTTTTCGAGAGTATGTGTAATTGCTTGGCACGCCGTGTAGCCTGAACGGTGGATTGGATTTTAGCTTGGTGGGTGTCGTTAGATTCGTATTTACTGCGAGTGTGGCACTGGGTATATCAAAATTAAAAATTACACAGAGACGCAGTCTGGTTTTTTGTTTTTTAAATTAGTATATATATATATGTGTGTGTATATTCCAATCTATACAAATTCAAATTCAAAATGTCTATTATTGAAATATACGCTTGCGCGTTCTTATGAAACGTCAAAATTTTACATAAAAATCAATACGTTCGTAAGTTACTACCGGTTCGGAAAGTAGTTTATGTTAGAAGAAATTGCTTTCCGAACTATCTATACTAGTACACGGAGAGGCGGTTTTGTTTAACTCGGTTTTGCTGCGAAAAGTACTGAACTGATTGGAATAATACTTTTACCAAAAGATGCACCGAGTTTCGGAAGCTTTAGTATAGGATTTAGGTATTAGTATGTTGGTGATGATTTATTGGGAACCTATATTTTTTTGACTTAAAGAAGATGGTATGAGTCAGCTAATCGGTTGGGGGACAGCTAGTCTTCTATATATATAAAACTAGCGACCTTTAAGTACTTACTCATACTATGGGGTTATGAAATTGTGGGTTTCCACTTTCAATCTTCCATTGTTACAAAATTAAAGAATCGGATCCTTATTTTTTTCGTTATGCGTTAAATAAACTAAGATACGAACTAGTACTAAAAACATTCTGGTTATAGTTGTTATTTAACGAAAACTATTCATTTTTTGTCAAAACCCCCTACAAAATCGTATATATTTATTATTACCATGCCCTGAATTAATTACGGTATATATTTGTGTGTATATAATCGTTTATTCTTCTCTGTTTGTAAATTTAAACTTATATACATACATTACAAGTCTAATGTCATGAAAGATTTAAAATAAAGTTCTTCTTTTGAATTCCTTTAACGTGTAGCATATAAACAAATTATAAGCATAAGATTAATTATTATTATTGATTATTTACTTGTGTCCGTATAAATTGTAATCAGATATTAACACAAATAAAATAAGGAAATTATTTTGCTTGAAGCGGACGGAATAATTGATAAATAATTCTAAAAGACCTATTTGCAGTATTCTACGTACATAATAAAATGTATTGCTTATATAAAAAATCTAATAATAATTATATGTTATCCGAGATCGTCAGTGATGAGGCTGTACCTGCCGCGGAAGCATGGCGGGAGGGGCTTTTTAAGCGCCCTCACCATGCACAATCGCGAGGTGTGCAGCCTCCGTAACTACTTTCTGGCGAGATCGGATGAGTCAATCTACACGGACGTCATTAGTTGTGATAAAGGACTTACCCCTCTATCCTTAGCCAACGAGCAATGGCAGGACCCGGGAGTACTGAGCGTTTCCGACCGAGAGGCCGTATGGAAAGAGAAAGAGCTCCACGGGAGGTTCTACAAGGCTCTACACGAGCCTTTCGTAGATACTGTTGCCTCCCTTAACTGGCTACGTTTCGGTGACCTCTTTGGGGAAACCGAAGGTTTTGTCTGTGCGATACAGGATCAGGTTATTAAGACGAACAACTATCGGAGATACATCCTAAAGGATGGCACCGTCGACATCTGTCGAGCTTGTCGCCATCCCGGGGAGTCGCTTCGGCATGTTATCTCCGGTTGTTCCATGCTTTCTAACTCTGAGTATCTGCATAGACACAACCTCCAGAATCCTACACCAGGAGCTCGCTCTGAAATACGGCCTCGTGGAACGGAAACTGCCGTACTATAAGTACTCTCCGGAGGCCGTGCTCATAAATGACCGCGCCAGGCGCTATTGGGACCGGTCCATCATCACGGACAGGAAGATTGTCGCGAACAAACCTGATATCGTGTTGATGGACCGGGCACAGTCGCGGGTATTTTTGGTCGACATTACCATTCCATATGACGAGAACCTCGTGAAAGCCGAAACAGATAAGGAGACGAAATATCTGGACCTGGCTCACGAGGTGACCGACATGTGGGGTGGTGTGCCGACCGAAATTAACCCGATAGTCGTGTCTCTCAATGGGTTGATCCCAGTCAGCCTCTCCGGACATCTGATTCGACTGGGACTCCGGGACGGAGCGCTCCAAGCTCTAATGCAGAAAGCGGTGCTCCTCGATACCGCCCGCATCGTCCGCCGGTTTCTCTCCCTTTCACCCTAACCCTCGGCCGTTTGGTCTCCCCTGCCGAGGGCTTCCGTCTGGTTGGGTCCTATTTATATATTATATATCATATATTATATACAATATTTTTATCTATATGTTTATTTTTATCCATAATATTTATTTTATATATGCAATATATATCTATATTTTTATTTTTATTTATAAACCCAACCAGACGAGAAAACAAATGAATATCCCCCCATTATATGTTGTGTCCTAAAATATTTATTTATTTATATTTAATGTTACAAACTATATTGTACTTTGTTAAATATCTTATTATAGGAAACACTTTATTGAGTTACTTCTTTTATAACTTATTTTTATTATAGTATTCAATGGTTGTTGTCTCTTAATATACAGAAATAAAATACTAAACTAAAAAACAATGATAAAACGGAGATAGCGGAGATAAGACAACAAGTATCTATACGTAGAGCTCAAATAGATAATAAGTAACATTAATAGACACTGCGGAAAACTTAAATAATAAGTTATTATTGAGATGATTGATACACTGAACTGTATTTAAACCTTCGCTCGTATCAGGGCTCACCGGCGACACCGGCACCAGAACAAGCACGTGGGGGTGTGAAGATCAGGAACAGACTTCAGGTCTCACCGTCGCCTAAGCCACGTGTCGCCGTGACGCCACCAGCTCGGCGCCCCAACCCCCTACTGAAGAGAAAACAGACTACTGAGGTAATAGCAAAAATATTGTAAACTTACATGTAGGATCATCATGGACATGCAGTTGACGTGGTATTGACGTTCATTTCATGTCGTTACGTGTTCGAAGTGAAGCATTTGATGTCTCAAGTTATGGGATTTTTGGTTAAAGCGGTGATAATGTTACCACATTTGGGTCCTATATTTGGCAAGTTTATACAATCTCTTTCAGTCTACTATAAGCGGACTTTTTATATTATATTATTATAGAATGAAATCGACACACCTCCCGTTTGTATTTAAATGGCTGTCCGTGATTGCGCCGTGCGTACAAAGTGGGGCCCTATCGTCTTCAATCAAATCATTGCATTTATGATCAGGCGACGACGGAGGCGGCCAAGCGGGCGTCAACGGAGACCACGGAGGAGAGCACGGGGGGCGAGCAGGAGAGCGCGGAGGGGGGCGAGACGGAGGCGGACGAGCAGCCGCAGCCGGCCGAGACCACGCCGGCGCCGCCGCTGAGGGGCCTCGACGCCCTCATAGCGCGGCGCAGGGCGGCCGGCATCGGGGGCCGCGTCGCCAGGCCCGCCAGGGGCGCCCGCCATAACTAACCCCCCCCTCCGCCCCTCTCCCGCAAATGTCACGTGGAAACGCATCGCGAGTGTCACCCCGTCCGCCGCTACCGCAACGCTCACCTTAGTGACGTCACACGCCCCTCGAACCAATGGAGGGGAACGTGGCGCATCGGACCGGATCGCTTTCGACCGTCCGTTCTTTGTTCGGAGAAGTTGCCCATCGGCTCGGGCTTGCCTCGTCTCTTACGGTGTAAGCTGTATCGCGTCAGAACATTTTCGGAGCCATGCCGCTGGATGGTGGCCGCCATTAACACTGGACGAGCTGACACAACAGACGGACGAAAGCGCGGTGGAGAAGGATGACCGGAGCTCTGATGATGTAACGGACGACGCGAAAACGAACGCGTAAAGGTAGAAAGTACCTGTTTTGAGAAAGCTCTACGTAGGTGTCGGACGTGCACTCAAGACGTTTCTACGCTGCCCATTTTTATTTTACATTGGTTTAATGACATGACTTTAAATGCTAACGAGATGGTCCTTTCCCGTACACAGCGAATCATCGATAAAGGAAGAAATTTATAAATATATCGAAGTCTTTCCCCATCGTGGCGAAATCTTTTCGCATTTGTAAATCTTATTAATAGCGAATTGCATAATCTTTGGAAGACATCTAATACGTATAATAGGATATGTCATTTTACTTTAGTCAATTTACTCCCCCAAACTTTTTAGAGTTTAGTAAACTTTCTTACTATGTATCAACCTCTATGAATATCTTCATCATTTAGTACGTAATTTTATGTCTATATAATTATTTTTACTCTCTACGTGTCTCGATTCGTGTAATCTTGTGTTTCCGTGATTCAGTTCTTGAATCAAATTAGAGCCCTATCGTTTTAATGAATCTCCGTAGAGTTAATTTACGTGTTATGTACATATTAGAGTTAAATATTGTTACTCATATGTGAACGTGGTCAGAGCGTCAACCGCCCTGACCTTTTCTGCAGCCAAATTCTATTATACTCGAATTCCCGTTTCACCGCGGAGCACGTATCTGTTTAGAAATGCAGCACGGTTGCATGCCAGTGTCTTATCAGTCACATTATCTTAGTCATATTAAATTAGAAATATCACATTTAAATGAATATAATCGTTTTTGTGCAACGTGCCCTTACATTTTTCGTTTGCTTGTCAAATATGTCGTGCTGCAAAATTAAGTTGAGAATCCGCTTTTCGTATAACAAGTAATAAAGGTCCATGTATTTAAGTTTTCACAATAATTAGATCAATTTATTTCGATCACTTGAAACATTCGAATTATGCGTGTAGAACGAAAGTTACATTCAACTGTCTTAATTTATTACTTTTAAGTGATAAACATTCCTTAGAAATTAAGCAAAGGAGTCGTTAAATAATCGTTCCAACAATGTACATCAATTTGATTTTTATTTGTATCCTGAAGCACTGATAGTTAGTGCCATCGTGATATGTTTTGTATCTTTCGTAAGTGTGATAATAAACTTAATCGTAAGAAAGAAACGCTTCTAATTTTACATCATCATTCCCATAATGCCCATTCCTTTCAACACCAACTGTTTATACCTTCGAGAATATAATCAAAATGTGTGACGATAAACAGGTAAAGTAAGTAAACGCAGTTAACTCTAAAGATATGCTATTTCTATTCATTAAATGGAATTAGGCCAAGAGAAGTACGAACAAGAACTTTAATGAAATAATACCTTGAACTGTGCAGACCGTAAGACATCTTAATTTACATCATGACATTATCATTAGTTGTAATACCTAATCTAAATGTGAATAAGATCTAAACGCTCATTTACGCTTTCAATCTCCTTCAATCTCTACACAATTCTGGATAGTGTTACGTAAAATAAGCAACGGGATTTATTTGCGTTTAAATTATTGGAAATTGCAACAGACTGTTGGTAAGGCAAGCAAGAATGATGCCATCTTACAAATAATATGTATGCTCGTGAATGTAAACAACTCGTTATCGCTCCGACAGAAGTTAATCGGTACTATTGACATTATTGTTGACTCTTTACCTTAAATATTTCATGCCCCGGAAGATCGGATTGTAACGCCGAAATAAGTAATTAAACAAATCGCATTTACACTATATATTTAGTATTTGAAATAAATGAGTTTTCATTACATATATTACTGTCTCAAAACTTCTGTACGTAAGTCATTGAATGTTGTAATATTATACTTGCCTTAGTGAGCAAAAACGCCTCACGGATAGCTCTAAGACGTGTAATAGATTTAAAATTATAAAATCTAGTTCTTTTTTTTATTTCTATAAAGATCGAAACTGTCTAAAATAAATAAACATGATAAAATCTTAAAACGAACAGTACATTTGGGGAACCAACAATTATTTGTGATTGAAGATAATTGCTTATTATGTGTCGTCTAGACTATGCGTACTTATGTAATTGCCCATTTAACACAAGTTCATATTCATAAAGTAACCTTGTTTCGCCACTTGACACTAAATTCAAACGCAACGTTTAAATCTCATATTACCTATATTCACGATAATACCATATTTGACAGCAATTATGATATTTTGTTATCGTAACTTTTTACACAATAATTACGATGAGATAACTCGTTATTACTAGTTTCGAAACGTTTCTCCGTCCATACATATGTCGGTTTTTATCAACAAGTCTGTTACTATGGTTTTATTTTTATCGTTGAATAAGTATCTATAGTATCACGTTTGAGAACGATAAATGTTTTTTCAAATGAGTTTAGCTGAGGCATATAAACTTATGGTTTATCATTGATATGTGATAATAAAATATGTTTTTATTATCGGGTATCATAAGCAACATACGGGAAATACGTTATTTATATTACGCAATAGTATTTTGATGTCCAACGGAATTTTTAGCCGGCACCGAAACTTATCGAGTAATATTAAAATTTCTATTGTGGACTGAATTCTAGTGCTAGGACTCCGCTTTGCGGCCACTTGGGACCTCCTAGCGGCCTCGTGATCTCCTAGGAACCCGCTATCTCATTCTTTGCGTTCACATGAGACACACCGAGTCCATTGGTGTGGACGAACAGGGCCCCCACTCCGATCACCTTAAACACACACTGGGTTCAAGTGCGATTTCAGTGACTCCTTTTCCTCAGATCTTAATACCTTAGGCCTAATTCATGTAAACAGCTTGCTTGATATTTTTTTAACTTAAACAACTTGTGTTTTCAACACAAACCATAGGTAAAATATGTCTGTTATGTTATTATATATTATGTTAACAATTTAATTGTAACAAATATAATAAACACCCCATACAAAGTTACTCAACGATTCAGAACAATTCATAACCGAGTCTCGAAACCGAAACCGCATCTTGGGTCAGATACGAATAATTGTAGACTCAATGGAGTCACAAATAAAAGTCAAGTCAAAATACTCCTAAGTTGTCGATGTCATAAAAGTCGTGTTATTTTATTAAAAATATTGTCTCAAATAAACAATGATACAAACAACAAATACAAACAAAACAAAATTTATCATCTAATCATGTTGGAAAGGTCATTGCACACAGTTCCTTTTGCACTCAGTTCATTTTGCACACATTAAGACATGAAGTGGGGAGGCAAAGCGTCAGTGTTTTTTGGGACACTATTATTATATTTAATACGTCATATCATTTTGATAATATATAATTTCAGATGGCCTGCGTGTGATGATGAGAGTACAATTTAGCATAACGAAAGTAAAAAAAATATTGTATAAGTCATTCACTTTGACCTTTATACGCAAGTAAAAAATATATATGACCTTATATTTTTATATACCAGTTTATCGTTGACGATCAGCTTGCTGGGATATTTTCCTTATTTTATGTACAGTTGATACAGGAGGAACAATATGATGCTGATATAATTATAGACCTACAGCTTTTTTCTTTTTGCGTAGAGATTTGGGATTCAAAACTTATTCTGTCTTAAATCTAATCATAATCATCATTATTTCAGCCAGCGTCCGCAAATCCAGTAAGTGTCCGCTGCTGAACATAGGCCTCCTCTAGGGGTTTCCACTTCATTCGCCGAAGTCCTGCGAGTTTGGATAGGTCGCTAGTCCATCTCGCGAGTGGTCGCCCCACACTGCTTTTACCAACACGCAGTCTCCACTCGAGAATTTACTCTACTCCACAAATTATGTGCCCATTGCCACTTCAGCTTGCAGACCCGCCTGACTATGTTGGAAACCTTCGTTCGTCTGCGGATCTCCTCATTCCTGATTCGATCTCGCAGAGAAACGCCGAGCATAGCCCTCTCCATTGCCCGCTCAGCGTCGTTGAGTCTCTTTGGGAGGCCCATATTAGAGGTCACGTCTCGACACTGTAGGTCCTCACTGGCGCATTGGTTAAAGACTTTTGTCTTCAGGATTTGGGGTAATCTGAACGTAAAGTTTTTTTTTTTAAACTAGCTTACCAAACACTGTCCAACCGAGTTTGTTCCGTCGAATGACCTCTCTCTCTCGAATTTGGACCTGCTTAGCTGGACTAATAATAATGTAATATAAACTGACTCATCTTATTCCGTGGCCAGAAAAATAATTTAATAGAAGCATCACCCAAGATAATCTTGTTCGTAAACCATGGAAAATGACGATGATTAAAATATTCGATATACGCCCAGTTTATAAAACACTCATCATCGTAGAAGTCAACTAACCAGCTGTCAAATAAAAACAATAAACTCTCTGAATTATTAATAATTCTGATCAATTCAGAGTGTTTAACAATCATTTAGTAACTCAAATAACATTCGATTTTCGAGCTATTAGCTGGTTAGTTGACTTCTACGATGATCAGTGTTTTAGAAACCGGGCGATAATCTTAAAACAGTAGACGCCACAATTTATAACGTGTAATTGCTATCCACTGATTGAATAACCAATATGGTTACCCGAATGCACGTAGATGTGTGCAACGATGATAACTCGCCCTGCGACTGACCATACCACTCAAATAAATTGGTTTACCGCTTAGTACTGGTTGAATCGAGCAACAGAGCGCACCGAAACACTTTAATATCTTCTTTTTATCTGTAAGTATTAAAACTGAATTCTATAGCACTTGAGAAATAAAAACAACACAATAGGCATGTAAATGCTGTATGTCTAAATATACTGCCATTACATAGGAATCAAAAGCAACTGTGCTAAATAATTTATAAAAACAACTGTTCTGCCGTGCTGTAGAGGTTAGAGAGAGTAATTTACTTTTAATGTAAAATATCTTTCTTTATGTTTGATTTAATCTTTGACATAGTTTCAACAATTTTATTACTCCAGCTTCATTTATTCCTAATTAGAACTATTAACAATAAGGATGAAATGCATAAGAGATTTTGCGGGTAATGCGGTAATACATATTTTCTTGATGAAGTATCGATGATTTTTTCGTTTATCCTTTCTCCTCCAATGTGTTACTTGTTGTTATGCAGTTTAATAAGTATGACACAAAAGTGTCAATTAAAATGAAGTTCGAATATAAAACAATTTTTTTATTGTATCAATTATGTTAATAAAACACTGGTTACGTTGACTTATATAAATTTATTTTAATCCTTTTTCTATTAGAATTGAAAATGGGGTTGGACATTAAATCAGTTCTCGTTGTGGACGGCGTGGGAGCTAACTGCACTGAGATTCTAAACTCGCATGGGATACAAGTTACAAACAAGGCGAAAATTTCAAAAGAGGACCTTTTAAAAGAAGTAGCCGTAAGTTGTTATGCCTTTATTATTAAAAAAAATATGGATGTAACAAGAATAAAAAAAAATGATTTATTAAGTTTTGTTTATTCCTAAACAACGATAAACGGATGATAATTATGTTATCTTTAAGAAAATATTTGGTTCTACTATGGTATCTCGAAATATTTGGGCTTGACATAACATATGGCCGGTTTTATTTCGATACCCTAGCGTTATAACCAAGGCATTTCGAGAGTTCAATTAGGTTGTAATAATTTTAATAGTAATTTTTAATCTATTTCAGAACTATGACGCCTTAGTGGTCCGATCAGCATCTCAAGTTACGAAGGAGGTATTGCAGGCGGGCAGCAAGCTTAAAGTCGTAGGGCGCGCGGGGGCAGGCGTTGACAACATAGACGTCAAAGCCGCCGGCGATAGGGGAATCGGCGTTATTAAGTAAGTTTTGAAGTAAAAGTAAGTTCTAAATATTTTAATCCTTAATAATGCAAAATGAATTATAGACTCTGGTCATAATGAGATTTTATTATAATTCACTTTAGAGGTAACGGTCGCTCTCTTATATTTTTAACACCTTTCTTGATCGAATAGATAGTACTTAATAGAAGTGTTAAAAGAGGTTGATTCCAAAAACATCTTAAGGAAGTGGTTATTTACCACATCTCAAGTATAATATCCTAGAAAAGATCCAGGGTTAGAATAGACTGTGAATATGATTTATGTGTTACTGTGAGAATTTTGGGTAAATAGTCCTTAAATAAGAACTCAGTAGTAAGAAGCCCAGGTTTCTCTGCCTTAAGGACGCTGAAATTGTTAGAGACGTTGAAAATAAAATCGGATCAAGTCCGTATATTCATAAGTTAAACTTATAAAACTTTGCGAGCAATTTAAAAATAAATAGACATTAAGAAACACGGTTACTTGTTTTCTGAACAGACACAGGTTTGTGTTTGATGCTTTTGATAATGAGAAGGGACAGTTAATTATATTGATGAATGTATAAAATATGCGTATTGTAGTTAGGGAGAAGGAAGGTAAGCAGTAGGAGGAGAGATTTATCGTAACACTTTACGGCCGCGATTGCCGAGTGACAGGGTACGGGTATATATGTAACCCGACGAGTAGCGATCTTCGGGGACCATCCCCATTGATCGGACTGAAACTCGGCTGACAGAAGGCCAACCGGTGGTGACTCCTTCTGTGAACAGAAAAAGTACAATCCCTCACCGCGGCTGCGGTGTTAGTAGGGCAGACATGTTTTGCCATGGTCGCATTTGTATATTGAAATCCTTTTCAATGGGGTCTGTTATCGGTTTACCTGTATCGTTTCGCAGTGCCCCGGGCGCCAACGCTTTGAGCGCTTGCGAGCTGACCTGCGGGCTGACGATGGCCTTGGCGAGGCACGTGGTGCCCGCAGCCACCGCGCTCAGAGCCGGCCGCTGGGACCGCGCACTTTACACGGGAACGGAACTGAACGGCAGAACGCTGGCGATCCTCGGCCTCGGCAGAGTGGGAAGGGAGGTGGCCGTCCGCATGCACGCATTCGGAATGAAGGTGAGGGTGGATTTCGAGCGCGCTTGATCCCCCGCTCTGCGATTGGAGCGAAGTTAACGTGATCCAATGTGTTATCAAAACTATCCATTTGTCTATATGACTTTTGAATAAATGTTTAAACATGCCGCTAGTATTCTTAAGTCAATTTTCGCCTTTGCCGTTATCATTTATTAAGATTGCTTAGAACTGTTTGCGAACATCATAGCACTATAATTGCGAGTTTTTTATGTGTCCACTTTTATTTAATAACTGCGTTTTCTTATAAATAATATTATCATTTAAGTCAATTCTAACTTAAAATCTTGATTGTTATTGTAACGTGTCAACCTTCTCAATTTTTTTTCAACATGTTTATGCAAGTTTGTAGATACGTTTATTACGGCGATGGCGTTTCTGTTGCGTTCTGTGTTACCACTTGTAAATTTTTGTTACTCTCTGTTTTATAATTGTAATGCTCAGTACATTTTATGTTCTAACAAAGCGTTTTACGCGTTATCAGATTATTGGCTACGATCCCTTCGTGACGGCGGCTCAATGCGCCGAGTTTCATGCCACGAAAATGGAGCTGGATGAAATTTGGCCCCTTGCTGACTACATTACACTTCACACGCCCCTCATCGAGTCTACTCGGAGTAAGTGATCTCATTTCGAAGAGTCTCATTTTTTATCGCAACAGTTAGATATGAACCTCGTATTCAACGTGGCGCCACTACCTCGACCATAAATTAACAAACGTATAGAGGATAACTTTTGGAAATTGTATTAACCATTTACTTTCTTTATACCCTTTACTGTCTTTAGCTAGCCGTGATGGCTCAGTGTCCGAGCGCTCGCCTTTAATTCAATATACTCATACAGCAACCTGACTTCGTTCCCCAAAGAAATTGTTAATTTTAAGTCCCGATTTATCACATGCTCAGAAAACATCGTGAGAAAACCTACATATTTTTGAAATAATAATTTAAAAAAATCGAAGCTATGTGAAAACAGCCGTAGTGGGGCCGCGTGGTGGACTATGACCTGTTACCCTCTGTGCAGAGGAGGCCTTCACTCAGAAGTGGGACACGTATAGGCTGATACTTTACTTTTTACTTTTTTCTTTATCATAAATATTTACCGAGTTATTAAATTTTCGAAAAAAACCTAATGCAATTTTTACATAACTTTTACATTTTTTTTTTAAATTTTAACACACAGCTCATTTTTAAAGGTCACAAAGATAAAACGTACTGTTAGAAGGAGATACTTGTAATGCGCTGTTGTGGCAACGAATGAAAAAATCTCTGAATATATGAATCAGTCAGTTGTAGTTGTATAGGATGTTACACGTGTTGGTTTTTTAAATGTTTATATTTTTTTTTAAGATTATTGGCAAGTAGCGTTAGAATTTTGTCCATTTTTGTCATTGTTGTAACACCATGCTGTATAGAAAATATATCAAGCGAATCAATGTATCAATTATTCCAAAACAAACTGTTAAAGCTGACCGTCAGTGACAGTTGTTCACAAAACATAATATGTCTATAGCAACTTTTTGATATCACAATTTAATTGTACGTTTTAATATATTTCGTTTAAACTTATTACGTGTTGAAAAGTCAATAGTGACAAGTCACCGCCGCCAAAGAATATTTAAATTCTATGTATAGCGTTGCCAATTAGGAGAGGTTTCTTAACTGTCTAGTGTCTACATAAAATGTATAATGCAATTAACGAGAAATGCTTTTTTTTCGATGATAATAATTATATCCAACTTCTTCAGACGAGCCTGTCAATTCGTACAACACTAGAAGCTGCGTAAGCACTGTGTGACAGTAAAATTCCAATGTTTTAGTTAAATTATTATCAAAGCCTGCTGAGGTAATGTTTTATTTGTTAATGTTTTACACCTATCTAGTAGATGCCGTGTCTAGTTTTCAGTCTGGTGTCTTGGTATCCGCGTTCTCGTGAAACAGTTTTGAACTTTGTAAACTTTTTAATTGGAAATTTATGAAAAATCTGGTGCCAAATGAACAAATGTAGCACCAGTTTGACCCAAACCCGTGGGTTCTGGCTAACCCACCGGTTCTGCGTCAGATGAAGCTTTAATAGTCTCGGGACTGAAAGCACTAACATCAGTTGATAAAAAATGCAAGACATGTCGTCTAAGGGCCATCGAAGTTGCGGTGCGGACCGAGACCCCGATGGCCGTCGACTATGTTTTTAGCTAATCGGTGGCTGGGGGCGGTGAGAAAACCGCGAATCCTGGAACGCGGGTGTACCTTGTGTACACGTTGTGTTGGTCTCGGTGGTGAGAGGGCGCCCTCAACTCGATATCGAAAGGACCGGTTTGTCAGGAAGGCCGACAAATGGTCCGAATGGTGTGTATAAGCCTGACTGACACTGGCCTGTCTGGCTTATCTTGAGTGCGTGAGTCCGGGTCACCGTGTTTCTTGAGTAGGTAGATATATAGTTGGTTACTCATTCCGAGTGTGCGCATATTTTATTTTTAGTTCATCAACGAATTAAAACGACGATTTTCTGTTTTGGATATTTTTATAATTTACGTAAATATTTTTTTTATTTTGCACTATTGTTAATTCCACAGTCTAATTAACTGATGTCTGATTAAAAAGAAATATGTGTTATTATAGCTCTATTACAGCCTTTAGATTTCTTTCTTAAATATAACCTTTAATATAAGGTAATGTTATGCTTAATTAAGTGTATTAACATAAATATATTTCTCGTCCAAAAGTACTTAATTCGTCATCGAGTGATGACTACCCGTACTTACGTAAATATTAATAGTTTAAAACAATAGTTTATTGAACTCAATTGTATTGTGTATTTTTGTGTATTACGGAAATGGTGCTATCTTTTTTGTTTTTTAACACAACAGTGGCACATATGAAAATATCCGTTTCCGGAATTCCGTTTAATAACTAATTGATTGATGATTTTTTATTTAACCAATATTATAATTTAACTATGGCAGTGTTTTAGAGTTTTCTTTATAAACATTCTGTAAATAAAATTCGTTTGAAAGACTGCTTTAATGACCTTTTTATCTATACCGATAAATAAAATTGGAGTGTCTGTTTGTAATATTAAAATAACCGCTTTTTACGAAATACATTTGGATGTATAAATACATATACGGTACATATATCAAAATAATATTTTTTACAATTTTTGTCTGTCTGTCTGTTTGTTCCGCCTAATCTCTGAAACGGCTGGACCGATTTGGACGGGACTTTTACTGACAGATAGCTGATATAATAAGGAGTAACTTAGGCTAATTTTATTTTAGATTTTTTTATTTTAAATTCCATGCAGACGAAGTCGCGGGCACAGCTAGTCATTAAATAAATAGCTGTGCCCGTGGCTCCGCTTGCTTTGCCCTTAAATAAACATATTCAATTATTTAAAGAAAACTTTTTTTTAATAAAAAGAATTCTATGTTAATACCTCTAAGAATGTTATTTGTACAAAGTTTCATGATAATCGGTTGAGTTGTTTTGGCGTGAAAACGTAACAAAAAAACTTACATTCACATTTATAATTATATTAGTAGGGATTATGACCAGAAGGCGTGACTTCGATCGTCATTCTGGAAGAATATTTACTTGATGAATATGTATCATAGTGACTTTATAATGTCATAGTGTATTTATATTCGTAAATATTGAAGGTAAATAATTAATATACTTCACAAAATAGGAGTATGTATGTTATATATCAGTTACCAACTAGGACCGTAGTATAGCACAGACTTTGCTTATTTGTGATATGGTAAGGTTAAGTATAAATACGATTTTGTTTTTTAGTATTCATATCTTCCCCCTTACATAAGGTATAAAATTGTAAATGTGATGCATTAACACATTCCCTTTGTCCGCAGACTTTATCAACGCTGATGTCTTGAAACGCTGCAAGAAAGGGATCAAGATAATAAATGTCGGACGTGGCGGACTCATCAACGAGCGAGACTTCCTCGACGCTCTCAACTCGGGACATGTAATTAGAACAAGATATCCATTCATACATTCATACTCTCATTCAATTGTTCATTCGATCATTAATCAATTCATGCTGCTAAATCTCGGAAGCAAATACTTTGAAGTAAACTTTTGTGGATGATTATTTATCCTAAATCCCAACCAGCGAAATCAGTGAAGAGTATATTTGAAATGTTATGTTGTGTTATTCATGATGGTAGATACTAATGACCGAGCCACATACGAAGATTCACGAAGATTACACATTTACTCATACAGTCAATAAAGCATGGCAGCAGTCGAAATGTTCATCTCGAATTATTTTTGAAGTTATACTTCTTTAGGCGCGTTATGAAAACATTATGAGAGTGAAATAAGATGCGCGCGCATCACTGTAACACAAAAGCCACACCTTTGAAGCTGACCGCTAAACCGCTTACTATAGATCACAGCATATCTCAGTCACATGTGTTACAATTTTCAATAAATAATGTAGACGGCGTTTTCCTAATTTTTTTTATTATTTATATCCTTTTCCAATCTTTCTATTATTTTATTTTAATTAATTATTTGCATGCAATTAAAAACTATTTTTTAATGATGCCAAAGAAGTATAACTTCTCACGCGCGTATATAAATGCACGTACCCATTTTTATTTTTAAGTGAATAGTTAAGCGATTACCGTTGCCCATAGGTATCTGCAAAACTCGTGATGGTGGAGATGCTTTGCCATCTTTAAAAAATGTGGGCCCGCTTTACTCCACACACCAAACGAAACGCGAAATTATAATACTCCTACATCAGACTGGTGTTCTGTTAGTCACATTTCAGAGGACAAGCTTGCTCATTAAAGCTTCTGCGTAGCCCTACCAAAATAACATTTGTTAAATGTTTTGTCAGCAGAAATTACTTTGAACAGAAATAAAATACACAATACAATAAAAATAAATATACAATGCGAATAAAATTTACAGTAAAGTAAAGTAAAGTAACAGCCAATACATGTCCCACTGCTGGGCAAAGGCCTCCTCTATACAGAGGGTATCAGGGCATAGTCCACCACGCGGCCCCACTGCGGATTGGCGGACTTCACATATTTTCGAAATATATATTTTTTGTTATTATTTCGAAAATATGCAGGTTTCCTCACGATTTTTCCCTTCACCGCGGAGCACGTGATAAGTCAGCACTTAAAGTTAAAAATTTCATTGGTGCCGGCACCGGGGATCGAACTCAGGTGCTCGAGTATATTGAATTAAAGGCGAGCGCCCGGATACTGAGCTATCACGGCTCGTAATGATAATTCTAATTTAATAATTCTAATAATAATAATTCTATTCTACTATTTTCATATCATTGGAAAAAGATCATATTACTTTAAGCAATATTCATTGAACTGTTTGATATTTACTGAATATCGGTGAATTGTGGCTAGTAGGTACACACCTGTTTAGTTTCATGCCTTACTCGTAGTTACGTATTGTTTTAATCGTTAACATAACTGTGCTATTTGTTGAGAGTGAATATAATGTTCACATCATCCTTACTTATAATAATAATAATAACAATAATGCACAATCGCGAGGTGTGCAGCTTCCGCAACTACTTTCTGGCGAGATCGGATGAGTCAATCTGCACGACGTTATTCCTTAGCCAACGAGCAATGGCAGGACCCGGGAATACTGAGCGTTTCCGACCGCGAGACTATATGGAAGAAGAAAGAGCTCTACGGGAGGTTCTACAAGGCTCTGCACGAGCCTTTCGTAGATACTGTTGCCTCCCTTAACTGGCTACGTTTCCGTGACCTCTTTGGGGAAGCCGAAGGTTTTGTCTGTACGATACGGGATCAGGTTATTAAGACTAACAACTATCGGAGATACATCCTAAGGGATGGCACCGTCGACATCTGTCGAGCTTGTCGCCATCCCGGGGAGTCGCTTCGGCATGTTATTTCCGGTTGTTCCATGCTTTCTAACTTTGACTATCTGCATAGACACAACCTAGTAGCCAGAATCCTACACCAGGAGCTCGCTCTGAAATACGGCCTCGTGGAACGGAAACTGTCGTACTATAAGTATTCTCCGGAGGGCGTGCTCGAAAATGACCGCGCCGGGCTCTATGGGGACCGGTCCATCATCACGGACAGGACGATTGTTGCGAACAAACCTGATATCGTGTTGATGGACCGGGCACAGTCGCGGGTATTTTTGGTCGACATTACCATTCCATATGACGAAACCTCGTGAAAGCCCAAACAGATAAGAAGACGAAGTATCTGGACCTGGCTCACGAGGTGACCGACATGTGGGGTGGTGTGCCGATCGAAATTATCCCGATAGCCGTGTCTGCGAATGGGTTGATCCCAGTCAGCCTCTCCGGACATCTGAGGCGACTGGGTCTCCGGGATGGAACGCTCCAAGCTGTAATGCAGAAGGCGGTGCTCCTCGATACCCCCCGCATCGTCCACCAGTTTCTCTCCCTTTCACCCTAACCCTCGGCCGTTTGGTCTCCCCTGCCAAGGGCTTCCGTCTGTTTGGGTCCCAATTATGTATGTATTATATTTATATCTATATGTTTATTTTTATTTATAATATTTATTTTATATATGCAATACAAACATATATATATATATATATGTGTATATGTATATATATATATATATAAAACACTAACACCCAAACTACTATTATATTATAATATTATTATATTATATTTATATATATATGTTTTATATTTATAATATTTATTTTATATATGCAATACAAACATATATATATATATATATATATATATATATATATATATATATATATATATATATATATATATATATATATATATATATATATATATATATATATATATATATATTTATTACTATTTATAAACCCAACCAGACGAGAAAACAAATGAATATCCCACCATAATCCTTACTAATATTATAAACGCGAAAGTTTGTATGTATGGATGGATGTTTGACATAGGCTATAATTTATGTACATCTTTTATGCATATGTGTCTTTTTGTCGGAATGTTACGTCTTCAGCCTATTCTACGCAGACGTAGTCGCGGGCTGCAGATAGTATTCAATATGTAAAAATTTAACAGGTCGGTGGCGCGGCGCTCGACGTGTTCGAGCAGGAGCCTCCGACGGACCCTCTGACCTTGGAGATAATTCAGCATCCGGCCGTCGTGGCCACACCGCATCTCGGTATGTACTATGGCCGGCGGCCGATAGCCCCTCGCCAAACTGAAAACACTTCCTAGTGCGCACTCGAAAGCCGTCCAGGAAGAGCCGAGACACGGAAGTTTGTCGCGGCTTCATTCAATGTCGCCTTTCATCGCATATCTGAATAAGGTTACCATCAATCACTATCAGTGCCGCATGTATGTAACTGTATGTATGCAACTGTTGTAACGTAGTGTAATTCGACAATTTCTCACCCAATTTCGTATATTATACATTAGACGTCATAAAATGTCTGATCGGATCTGATCTGAGAACTTAAGTAGTGTTTTGATAATATAAATTAAATTAATATGCACAACATGAATTACCCTTCGATGTCATTGAGATGTAAATTACGTTTAATGTATCATGCATTAGTAATTAATACACTAGAAGTACTCGTAGCTATTTAACTACGAGTACTTGTAGTGTATATACATCGTTTAAAACAGTTATTAAAATTCACATAAAGTTTTATTAAATAAAGCAAGAATACGCTTTTTATTACCGCGAACCGTAGTAGGAAACATTTTGCGACCTTGGCATTTTTAGTTAGGCAAAAATAGCGTCATCCTGTGAAGTAACAAAACAAAAACTCCTCTTAATTGATCGAAGTGTTTCACCAATATCACTTTGTTTAAAATTTTATTCTCAATTTAACTAACAAATATTTTAACAATATAATAATCAATTACGTAAAGTATGAGATTCCGGATGTGCATAGGAACCGGAGGATCGTGTATTAATTAAAAATCTGAGGTCAGATATTACCATATGTTAGCGATAAAAGCAAATAGAAATAATTTATAGTCTTAAAAAATCACTAACATTAATATTTCCTTTTACTTTTGTGTTCGTCATAGAACAATCGGTTTACGGTGGTAGGGCCACGCAACACTGTTGCATGAATGGGCGTAAAGTAGAAATGTTACACTTCTGTGTTTCGTCTGGTGAGAGACGTAGCCGGGGCCCACTTTATTTAAAGGTGGCAACGTATTTGCAACGCTACGGGTGTTGCACATGTCCATGGGCGGCGTTTATCACTTAACATCAGGTGAACCGCCAGCTCGATTGCCACTTTCTCACATAAAAAGGTGCTTAAGAAGCAACGGTTTGTTTAAGTTGAATCAGTTTCAGTGTAATACTGATATTACTGATATTATTATACCGATATTACTAGTTCTACTGATAGAACCATTTTTTTTTATTACTGGTAATAAGAAATAACTAAAGCATACTTTGCTTGTAACTTTGCCTTTAAATAACGGATGTTTACGACAAGAATTGTTTTAAAAACTCGCGATTTAAAACTTCAGTCAGCCTTTATCATATCGATTGCCGATGTCGAATAAGTCCCTTTCTTCGAATTCTTCAGAGTAAAGTGTCACCATTCCAAATCCGTGGACGTATAAATACCCACCCTGGGGTCTCTGTTTAGCAAGAAGATATTGAGTGGACTGAGGAATGTTATGCACGTAAATACATCTTACGAAGGTCTAAGTTTGTTAACTAGCGCTAAATCTCAGTCTAATCTAGTGTTCGATTTATGACAATTAGATTTATAATGAAACGCACTCAGGCGCAGCAACCATGTGCAAAACACAGCGAACGGCCGAAAGGAACGTTTATTAATAATCGTTGAGGGACAAACAGGGCCGGGCTATTGCGCTGCCGCCGCTGTGGTTGGACGCAATTAGCGTAAATAACAGGTAGCCGGCAAGGTTCGTGTGCTCTTGTCACTCCCGACGAGGACCTTGACATCTTATTCGCTTAACGCTTTCGTATCAAAATGCCTTTCATTTTCCACGTGGCATGGAAATAAGCTTACGCACGCTTGTGCGACGAGTACTTTGGAAGTCGATCGCCCAAACGAACCTGGTGGCGTTCGTTCGACGATCTCGTCTCATTATTCCCAACCCTCCGCAGGTGCGTCGACCAAGGAGGCTCAAGTTCGCGTTGGCCAGGAAATAGCCGAGCAGCTCGTGAACTTGGTGAAGCCCGGCACCTACGCCACGCCTCTGGCCGAGGTGACCCGCGTTCTTGCCAAGTGAAGGATCTCGTCACCGCTGCAATAAATGCGGTGAGCGCGCCGACTCCCACTGAGACTGGCGCTGCGCTTCTGAACAATTCTACTCGTATCAAAAATTTCATTTCATTTAATTGTCTCAATGTTACTATTGTTGACTAGATACGCCGTCAATTCATTCCATCAATGTCATTAATTATAGTAAGTAACTAATAACTTTAAGTATCGTGCTACACAAAACTATAAAATACTTGTGTATTCCTTTTTGTTGATATTTTTACTTTTTAATGCTTATCATTTTAAATTAAACGTATATTTTTTTATTTAAAATGTTTAATTCATAGCCCGCGCCTCTTTGTGATTATTTCATCCCTTTGCACACGATTCGAGTCACCGAGTCAACGAGAAACATGCATATTGATAAACATTAAGATAATAATATACGCCTTCATATTTATGCTTCAGAAAGATTAGAATCTTTCTGAAGCATAAATATGAAATGGCGTGAAATGTGGAATAAAAATAGCTTATGGGGCAAATAAAAAAGTAGGAAACAATACAAACACATTAAAAATTATTTATTTAAAAATTACTTATTACATATAATTTACAATATAGTAAGTATAAAAATCAATTCTAATCATGTGTCTAATGCTAGTTTAGACCAGAATTTGTATTGAGACATTGGACTCCGACAAGGAATGGGGTAGAAAGGAATGAGGGTGGGTGGGAACCATTGTGGCAATTAATATTATGGGTTATTGTTGGAGTTAATTCCCTCCTCGCCTGGAGAACGTCCTACCAGTTCTAGCGGGAGGGGTAGCTTCATTTTGCTCTTCCGCCTCGGACTCTTGGAATGTTCTTGATGCCGCTGCAAAACAATGTCGCAATTGAAATATCTCCGGGTTACTCCAAAATTATTCTCATATATACAGCGTGTCGTTACCATCGCGACAATAAATGAACACACGTCTAACGCTACTTGCCAATAATCATAAAAAATATTAACGTGAAACAAAATCCATAATTAAAAAAAATATTTTTCAAACAAACTAATTAAGTAAAAAAGAAACAAAATTTGTAACATTCTATACAACTCGCGCCACAGCGTCGTATTACAAGCCTCTCCTTCTAACAGTATGTTTTGTCTCTTTTAAATTCATTCAACACATTCATATGCTTTGTGACCTTTACAAATGAACTTTACGTTACGCTTTTATAGGTAAGGGTGTTCTAAAATTCTTTGTTTTGGAAAATTTAATAACTCTGTAAATATTGATGTTTAAAGAATTTAAATGTTTAATACAACTTTAAAAAGTTATCCCCTATATGTGTGTTCATTTATTGTCGCGATGGTAACGACACGCTGTATATGTGTATTCTCCTTTTGTAAACAATGAAAAGGATTAAACCGTTACATGCGAGGCGATAAAAGACTTTTAGACTTTTATCGATAATTCGGCAGTTTATGTCCATCCAATTAAGGACTATCAATGTTTTAATTAACATTTGTCTGCACTGACGTATATTTTTCACAACTTACGTCGTCCGAAACGTCCTCTACTGGGCTTGGCCGGCGCTGGTGCGTCTTCGACGTTAGTCTCACGTGTGGCTGTATTGAAACGTTTCTTACCTAAAAGTAATACCAAACAATCAACAGTCAGGAATACAAGCGTACGCACACATTTGAACCAAGTGCTTTTCTCCTTTCCTAGTAAATTATAAGAAATACGTTATCGCATATGGCCTCACCCTATTCGACTGTTAAGTTAATAAATAAACAGGATATTTTTGTTAAACAATTGTGTAAAAGAGTATAAGAAACCAATCGAAAAATAGTGATTTTCCATGTTTTTTCGAAGTTTATGGATTTAATAAGACATTTAACGGTCTTTAGTTTACGTGACCTTTAACGCAATTTTATCGACCACTGTAAATTGACGGGTGGACATTTTCTGTCGTAAGGTTTGCCAAATAATCGTTGTGGTTTTTCTCACGGACCCATAAAATTCGAGGGCGACCAGGCTCGATGACAATTCGCAATCTACATAAACGCAATCACCGTGACAACAATAAAAAAATAACTTTCGGAATTCCAACAAGTTCATTGGTGTTTGTCACGAAAACTTGCCATGCCAAGAAAATGCGGGAAAGTTAGTTAATCGTAAACTGACGTCAGACAAAATATTGTCGCTGATCTTACAATATTTCTTTTCCTTAACGCGCCGTGTGTCTCTTGCGCTACATCTGTTACCCTTTCCTTTTAGGAATTATTAAGGGACTTAAAAAAAGAGGTTCTCAATTCCACTGTATTTTTTATATATTTTAACTAAATACTATTAATAATTTAAGTTAGACTGCATTATTTGTTGAATGACATAAATTAAAAAAATATTACATAACACTTACTGTAACTAGATTTGGATGAAGCATCACCGGGCGAGTCTTGAGATTGGGAGACAGCAGAAGACGCCTGTCCGGTTAACTTTGCTGCAAAGGAAAAAAGAGTTACTAACCAAAAAGAGTTTTTGTTTTATCAAAAACATATTGTATTTACTAGTTAAAATCGAATAATGTCAAGGCGATAAACCGAACCAAGCTACTATTACAACCTTATAATTTACAAGAAATACTAAAGTCAAGTCTAACCATAAGTCTAGTCTACTAGTTTATACTACAATCCGTGTGGTGGTCACGTCGGAGTGATATTCATAAGGTTAGATGGGGGAAGGCAGACGAAGTTATCTAAAGGCGAGCGTGAGTCGAAAAAGAAGCTAGTAGTCCCAAGGTCAAGCACCTCCTGCAGCCTGCGCTCGCCGTCTCTTCAGTGCCTCGAGCAGGTCCGTGTTGCTGCGGAAGGGGCGGACGCCGCCGGAGACCAACTTCTTGCCCTCCGTGGAGGACGGAGGCGCCTCTGTGGACGGCTCCTGCGCCTCGCTGTCCGCGTATTCTGCCTCGTCGTCATACTCGGCCTCGTCCTGCCGAAGTCGTGGCACTGTTTTTATATGTTCGACTGTTTGTCTTTACATGTGTGTCCGCGGTGTGTTTGTGTGTGTGCACGTATGACCGAAGAACTCGGGATGCGCTCACCACCTTTGAATTGAAATGTTTTATATAAGAGATGAAAAAGACAGACCACCTTTGACTAATCTACAATATTAACTTACTAATATTACTAAATACCTTCTTTCATCGACATTACCTTCAATCGACAGTTAAATAGAAAACATTTGTGACATTCCACTGAGGACGCTAAGGAGTGAAAACATAAAAACTTTATATAACGCTCACGTACCGAGATGGCAGCAAAAGATTTAATACGACAATCATTTTTACAATTTAAACCCTCTATCGGAGTACCTATCGCACGTAGCGGACAGGACAAGTTATCGCCATTCAGCGTTGCGTTACAATACCGCGTACCGGTTGAGGCTGTAATATAAAGCGCGCTCCGGCCGCGGTATTTTGCCCGCGAAACCCGTCCGTTCATTAACCGGCGTGTGGCGGTGCGGCACACTCGAGCGAGAAATGCCACCGAAGAAAGGAGCCCGCTGAGGTCAACCGCGAAGGTGATTCGGCCATCGGGCACCGGTTCCACTCGCCTTGAACCACATGGACATCTTAGGCGCGTTTCGGTACCCACGAAAGTTCGCGAGCGAAGAGCGGCGCAGCGAAAAATGTCACAGCACAGACCCAAATCGCAACTCCTCTACGCTCGTTGTGCCTGACAGAGACGCACGTGCGCAAAACTATAAAACGTAAATGTATGTACTTTGATTTGAGTATAAGCAGCAAGGTTGTGCAATCACGCAAATCCTTGATTTAATAGTGTCAAGAAATTTCAACTTTTATGTAAATATATTTTTTTAACAGCCCTCGAAGAAACAAGGTCGGATTCACGGTCGGTTTTGATTCCGGATTGCTTCAGGATGTTCTTGAATTTAAGCTTGAATCATATGGATTGCATTACCACTAAATCAAGGACAAGGAAAATAGTTCAAAAAAGCCCCGCTTAGAAAAGCAATCTTGCTTCACGGAATACACAAGTTTTCTAAATAAGTACATATCTTGTAAAAAAACAGAATACTGATTTTTATAAGCTTGCAGCTATAACAGATTAATACATAAGTCGTGTGTATGTTCATTGTCATACTTGTTATACATCATTATAGGATTTTGTTCAAAACATACTTTCGATTTCATAATTTACTTTGTATTATATCTTGACGATTGAGGCGTAATATTATGTTGCAATTATTTAAGTACATATTGTTATATACATGTTTTCGTGTGTAAAAAACCGGTTATAATGCATGTGTGCGTCTAAAAATATACGTTACCGTGTAATACCTTACAAAATCGTTACCCGTAAAACCTTTGCAAATATCATGTTACGTCGTAACATATTTCGATATAATGAGCCGTGATGAAATCCGACTGCAAAATGGTTAATCTATTGACGCAAAAACACACGAATAGTCTCTAATTAAGATCGATAGATTAATCGCTTAAACAATTGATGTGAACGGTGCTTAAGGCGCTTTCTAAAAACCTCTGCAATAAAATCGGCTAACAATAACAGTCAACTCCCTTATATCTAATATATAAAATTCTCGTGTCACGGTGATTGTAATTGAACTCCTCCGAAACGGCTCAACCGATTTTCGTGAAATTTTGTGTGCATATCGGCCAGGGTGGAGTGTCAGATAAAATCTATTTTTCATCCCCCTAAATGTTAAGGGTGGTCCACCCCAAACACTTTTTTCTACCCTACAAATAATTTATATGGCAAAACAACTTTTGCCGGGTCAGGTAGTATACATATATATACATTTACCAGCTAAAAGTGAAAGATGTGTAAATAAATTATTCATAACTACTTTTTTGCGCCAGGATTATTTGCGGATTTGGGCGCAGCGAAAACCATTAACCAAACTTTTATCGCGATCAGACGAATGGTTCATCAGCGCATAGACGACAGATTTTTTTTCTATAGCAAGTACATTTTTATTAATAAAAACAAAACCGACTTATAGTAGTAGTATAATATCACCAGTTTTTTAATTTGGGGAGGTCGCTGATGTATCTCCGGAAGCCAACGCAAAAAAAAATTTCCAATCGTTACATTAATGACGAAGTTATGAGGTAACAAACTTAAAAAATGAGATGAAAGTTGACCTAAAAAAAGGAAAAGAATAAAACTTTAAAAAGTTTTTCCCGAGACCAATTCATTAATTGAATAGTGTCTCCATAAATTAATTCTCTATAATAGTGAAAAAGTTGGACAATTCACAGAGCGTATTAATAATTTATAATAATAAAATTAAGATGTAAAATAAGTTGACATAGTGAAATAATGCTTTCAAGTTATGCAGAAGTAAGTTTCAGTATGGTCTCATATTGCTATATGAACCAAACAATCTGTATTCTAAAAATATATGTAAAAACGGACGAAAATAATAGTCTACAATGACTGAAATGTAATTTTATTTTATTATAAAAATATATTTAAATATGTTAAACATATTTTTAAAGGCTTACTAATATTTCGTTACATGTTCTTTGGGTAACCGGACTCATGCACTATTGCCTAGGAGCGGATTTATATCATTTCATTGTAATTATTTTGAAACTGCAGAATAAAAATATTAAAACGCACGTTGAGCAATTAAGATGCACGAATCGCCTGTACACCGAGTGAGTCGACTGTTACAATAAACAAGGTCTTTGTGAACAATTTAAATAAAGGTTAAGCAAATTCTAGTTAATAATTAAATTTTGCAAATTGCTGCGGATTCCTGAGAATTTGGAATACCGTATAGCTTAAGTCGCGAAATTTAAAGGTTTAACTATTTTAATGGCATGGTTTCCGAGAATGCAGAGCACGGTTTTCTTAAACTTTCACTTCAACAAACAAACTTCAAACGACTACTGATAAATTAGTTATCGATTATCTAACCGCTTCACTCCATCCGCCCGAGGCAACATTAATAAGGGCTTCTACAAAAACCGCAACAAATAACGATGAAGAAATATTTGCACCGCCTAGAATTGTAACATAATCTAAAGAAACATGAACTTCGTGCCGATTTAAATTTAGTATATTAGATTTCCTTTCCGATTGACGTGTAGTGCACTAATATCAAATAGTAATAATTCTACTAAATTATTCAAATGATTTCATAGATTTAGATTGAAATGATTTCATCGAACTTCGACGATCACTTATAATGCAGGCGTGTGACGTCATACTGAATTGAATCCTGTTTTGGTGGCTCACATGTTAATGTTTAAATCGAGGTGAATGTTCTCTTTAGATGAATTTACGTAGTAAAACACTGGATGTGTAACACCAGAAGCGGACGTTGTTTAGTAGACGGTCCTATATGGCATAGGCTTGCTCTTGAAACCAGTTTTGATCGCGGCACCTCTAACGCAACAGTATCAGCGCCCTACTCTTGAACCGAATCGTATTTGAATTTGAAACTAGATCGTAATCGTGAAACCGTAAGGCTGGAGCCCGTAGCATTTAGACATACGTGGAATAATTGTCTCAAACAATACGCCCCACGCTAAGCCATGACGTTTTGCAAGCGCTGGCCTATTCGTTAGGATGTCGTCCGTAACGATAGGATTTTTTAATCGTTTCGAAATAGGGAACTGTGAACCACCAGAAGGAAGTGAGCGTAAAGGAAATAAACTAATGACATATTTATAAAACACGTACACGTTAATTTCAGGAGTAGAAAAACGATAATATTTCGAAATGTATTTGAGGACATACTTCTTTCGGCGCGTTTGGAAAAAAAAATATGAGAGTAAATTTTTCACGACGTGCGACAAATGAAATTGGTTGCAAAGCGATCAACTTCAACACAACAAGCTTATTCAATTATTATCTATTATTGCATTCAATGTCACACAAACAAATTGTACTTACTGGACACAGAGGAAAACATTTTTAGTTACTATGTTTTTTGTTACGTAAAAAAAGTATGACTTCTTATGCATGTACACACAATTTTTTAATATCCAACAGATGATTTAAAAACCACCTTATCGATTGTATTCCACATGCAACCTTTTTGAATGATCATAAAACTGATTGGCCGTCGAAATACACTAAGACCAACGATTTGAAGGATGCATGAAGAATAAACAGTTACAATATTGAGTTAAGACGTATAAATAAATTATGATATTTATTTGTTACCTGCGGTGCGGGTGTGGTGGTTGTCGTGGTCGGTTTGCCCTTGGTGAGTAGGCCCCGCTTGAGTATCCCACGCGTGGGCGCCGCCCGCCCTTCACCCTCATCCTGCGCCCGAGCGGACACCTGCGACGCCAAACACGTCAGGAGAACGATTCTGGAATCGACAAAACACAATCTCTTAGAATAATTGCCACGACGGCGTTAAATTATTACGTAAAGAAGAATCTATCCTTTGCGCAATTTGTCACCTGTTTGATTTTTTTTAATAATCTATCATTATTATCTAAATGTCAGTTTTGCATAAGACTTCGATTTCGATAATCTTTCATAAATGTATTATGTAATTCTAAAGAGCAGATGAGTAAAATTACAAGACTCGAGCGGTCTCGTGGTTGCATTTTTCTCTCGAGCCTGTCTTGATTCCTATTAGGTAAACGGCTCCCTACACGTTCGTAAATGTCAGGGATATCTATTAAAAATAGTTGCTCAGCGTCGAATCTATTGAGTCTTTACACACGTGCAGCTGTGCATTAATCTCCTAAATGATTTTAAGTACACGTTTCATGTTTTTGCAAGCTTTGTCCTTGCACGTCCAACCTTTAAACGTTGACGCAGTCACATACATACCAAACGAAGGAACGTAACCACAAAACGGCAGTTAAATGATAAAGTATACGTAACGCATATAAGTAAACATGATATTATGCCGCAATGAAGATCGACCTAAAGAAGTCATCGATGTAACGCGACCAGCAATAAAAAGTACGTTTTAATGTCAAAGTTCGAAATGAGCGGCGCGCGATGCTGTAATAATTTGTGTGATTGGTCTCCTTCAAACAATCTTTAGATGCACTCCTTTAGTTTTACTTCCCGGTTCTTTTTTAATGGCGGCCACCATTGAAATGTAGGCCAAATAGTTCAATGGCGTTTAATTTCACTTGTGAGCGGCGCCGAGGTTGTTCGAGTGCCGTACGAAGGTGGGTCGGAACTCAACACTCTAATCAGCAATACGAGAGCGAGACACCCGAGTGAGGAACTGTTCGATGCTATAAAGGCCAACGCGTTACTATCTATATATAGTTGAGCAACAGGTCACTTCAGGGTCGGGTCAACCGTCAAATGAGCGGACCAGAGAATTCCGCATCCGCTTCCTATTTCGCTACAGAAGCACCCTCCACTTTCTCTCTCTCTCTCTCTCTCTCTCTCTCTCTATGTTTTATATAATAAGTCATGGTGTCGGGGGACGTGTTCACATAAAACTCATATACAATGCGCCACGTATGTAGTTATGTACCTATAACATAATAATAGCGACCATAGTAAATGCTATTTCACGCCAAGCACGATCTACTCTTGATGGACTATATACTTTAGCGACTGATGTGTTCATAGATGGATTTATCGTAGTCATCATTTACATACATACGAAAACGCGCAATCAATTATGCCGCTCATGTTTGAACTCGATACATTCTTGGAACGAGTCACGTTGGAAAAAGTGCAGCTTTCTTTGTTCGTGATATTTAATTATAGGCATACGCATAGACATTGGAATGTGAATCATAGATCGAGCAATTTTATAAAAACAATACAACTGTACCGATTAAAAAAATTCAAATTGTCTCGGTTTAAGAATATAGATTCATAAAGAATTCTCCATTTTAAAGTGAGAGTATTTAATGTGTAGACAATCGCATATCTGATGTATCTTCACAACATTCGATTAATGGGAATGGACCATGACAATTGAGAAGCGTTCTTATCGTCTATGTTCCCACTACTCACTACTCTTAAGATTATTATTTGGCAAGCGCCTAATGTTACATAAAGTGTAAAAATTTGCGAGGTGTCTAAGAGGAGACTCGGTGAAGGACTGCCTATAGTCCGTTATATAATGTATGAATTATGAAATGTATGAGAAATAATCCATGAAACATTGAAGGCCAACGGGCCACTGCATCATACAGACAAATGTCAATTGTCTGGTTGCACAAGTGTTTTATTACCAAATGTTCGTAAAGTTGGAGATGAGCGAATCGTAGGCACTTTAAAGCATCTTGATAAAAGAGCATGCAATAGTAACAAATTGTGATTGTAAATAATACTCCGTAGTACAAGAAAAATGAACATTTTATGAGAAATACCTACAGTTAAACATAGTGCTATATTTGAAACAGTCAATACGAAAACTATGTTTGACGGAACTGTAAGACAAAATATTTATTTATTGAGGCCATCAACTAGTAGTGAATGCATTGCCTGCGTAAGTTACTTGCCAAGTTTGCAATATGCAAATAACAAGTAAATTGTGCTTCTCGAATACCTAAGCGTTTTTATCAGTGAGCGGTAATTAATTTTCCAGTTTCCTAACTATTAGAAAAAATTAATATTCACTTCTCCATCAACAAATAGCTTTAAATTTAAAAGCACCACAGAAATAGACTTCGATGAGAAAGAGCTGACCAACGAAACTGGTAGGAATGTAAGAGGAACAAGTTTAATTAACATTAATCGATCGCAAGGACAGTTAATATAAAATTTTTCTCTACAAAGGTCAAATTGTGCAAGAACAAGAAAAATATAATTTGAATAAAACATTTCGAGCACATTACAATTCTTATCGGTGTGCTTAATAACTGATGTTAACTTTGTTTGCATATCTTTAATACAATGTGCTTGCGATTTTATCGCGCCAATGTTCATCCCACATTACGCTGCATTGCCTAATCGTAGGTCGTGGGTCTAGCTTTCAACATGCACGGAGTAACTAATGCGGCCGGCCCGCGTTTTCGCTTAATTAATTTGAAATTAATTAGTTCGGCACTAGGTCAGGCCGCGGCTATCATAATGAGGTTTCTAAGTCACGAAGTATGAAACGAATTGGAAATGATTACCGAAATATTAGTACATCACTGTGACCTTTTACTTTTCAAGCGTGGATTCATAATATATTTGAATAGTTTTCTTCATTTATCAAATTAAAATTGTAAATTTGCTAACACTCAAACCGATCTGCCGAAAAGACGATTTAGAAGTACAGAAATATTATACTTAAAGTCATATTTTAGCTAAATATCCAGTATTTCATGGTTCTAGACTAAACAAGTTAATCGCCCGTTATAAATTGAACAATGATAGTAGTATATTTCTAAAAAAATAATTAAATTTTAAATTTACACAATGTACACGTAGAATGGTCTAGCAATTTTCTTTTTATAACTTTTCTAAAACAAGGTGTTTAGAAATCTGTTACGCGTAAAATATTAACAAACAGCAAAATATGCAATTTACCACTATACACACTTCAAAGAGTCACAATATCCTTGCGACACTAATAGATACATTAGAAAGGCAAAACACTTTTTAAGAACACTGTTGTGTACCATGCACGTCTTCATAGTGGGCTTTGTTCTCCAACTGTAACTTTGTTACGGTTCGGACTACAAGCTGTATGCAAAATTCACTAATTGCCAAAATTATATCGCGGTGCGCGATAGCGAAATGTATATTCAATGAATGGCACACTTTCAAACAGAAAACAAACACCAGCACCTATTGTGCGGGGTGGTTGCAATATGCACATCGCAAACGCAATCGCTTAGCTGGTACTCGTAATGACGGCCACATGACATGGGAAACGGGGCCAGACGTGAGATAGGTGATGAGCTACTCACAGGGGAAGTATCCTCATGTTTACGTCGTGCTGGGGCCGCGTGTGTCGTAAAGGCACTGTCGTTGTTCCTTTCTCCGCGGAGCGGCTGCGAGCAGGTCCACTGTGTTCGGGGGCGACGCTTGATCTGCCGTTCCAACGCGAACACCTCCGATACACTCCAAGCTTCGGTGCCGCTGCACTGGTCCGCCCGCCACCCCGGCACCACTTACCTGATTTATATTCGCCGTGGCGCGCGGCTCGGCATACCGATCATTGTTCACGGCGACATTTGGTAATTTGTCAGCTCCAAAATAGACGGAATCCTGTTATCGCGCCCGAATCATGGCAACCGTGACGCAGCAGCGACGCGGCTTGCGATATTATCAAATTAGCAACTATCTATTCGCCTGCGCAAAAATTTTAAAAGACAAAGTTTTTATTTTAACATTGATGTTTAATTGCTCCGGTATATCTCAATGTAAACTAAAGTTAACTAAAGTTAAACTCATTCAAAGTACACTGTTATATTACCAGAAATTTTTCCCAGTTTTGATATTATAACTTATTGTATGATGACAAAGGTTAATATTAGGTTAAGACCCTTTAATATTTTTCCACCAAAGTACGAGTAGTCCTTTTTACTGCAATTAACAGGTATTTACTTAAATATCAGTAAGTTTACTGTTAATACTACTACTATCAACAGAAATCTTAAACATGTTCCTGCAGAGCCTAGTCACTTTCATTCAGGTTTAAAGGTGACGATGACACAACAGAATGAAGTGATGAAATGTATAGATGGGCCCAATTGCCTGAACTCAAAACTCAAACAATATTCATACAATATTAAATTTCTCTATGAATATTTTTCTCAGTCTAGGAAAGTAATTATAGCTTGAAATGTTTGTACCTCTTTATTTTTATATCATATGGATTTTCAATAGTGCTCTTAAGCAAAATCCAAATGTGCTTTGAGTGTTGTTTTATTTATACTTCATAAATAAAGTTTTTGGCATATCATAAATAAATTTCCTTCAGATTTCTGGTTTCCTTCTGGAAATTAAGTGATGGTAGAAATGAAGTGGAGAATTTGTTTAATAACTAAATATAATGAATCTATTAATACGTGAACCAAAAATGTGAAGCTTTGTACACCTTTTTACGAAAATTGCGTGGGAGAAGTATGAAAAATCTCACACTTATAGTTTATATAGAGGAATGCAAAATGCTAATATTTTTAATTGTACATTAATGTAAGTATGCACATTGTACATGAACATAAAAATACGTTAAATCCGTAAAAAACATTACACACGCTATGTTTAAGTAATTATGGTCGAATTTCGACCACAGGGCGACCACTAGTACTAATTAATTCGAAACCACTTTTATTTCTATTTTGATGTAGGTAAGGTATAATTTATATTATTTTATATTATTTTAAGATTTAGAATTTAATACACTATTATAGATTTAATAGACTGTAATAGAACTTTTAATACAAATTGGTATATCATTGACTGGTTACATAGCTATATGGTATTATTAATAAAATCATTACATTGAATAGAACAATCATAGAACCTATGCTATGACTTTTATCAGTTTTCAGATGTTCATACAGAACTTCAAAAATTGCTACTCACCGCGTACATTTAACTTTCTTTATTAGAGTTCAATGTATCCAAAAGCTGTTGCGTCTGGTTCGACAATGGGATGTCGCTACAATTGACGATTTTATATTCACAACTTACTTTTGCAACTTTAAATATCTTACAAGCGTTTAAACACTTTTTCGCTTTTGTTACCCTATGACACTAACTGGTTATATATGATTTTTACTACAAGGTAAGGAGAATTCGTTCACTATAATTATGTTGTAGCACACGATAGGCTTTAGTCACAAATTTAATTTGTCCACTATATTTGCAGATAACATTTTTATTTTAAGAGAATAGTCAAAAATATTCCAAAACTTAGATCAAATTATTGCAATCAATAACAATATGTTTTATAATCTTGTTACATGCATGGTTTTTATTAACCAACTTAGAATGTTCACGGTAAATATATATAATTATAGAATATATTCAAAATATTATGATTACTAGACTGTGTATACGTAGGTACTCATATGACAAAATTATTGGAACGATGAATAGGTTTTAATTGATAAAATTAAAATGATAATTACGTTTGTAATTGTGTTTGTGCGCTATATTTTTGTATAAAGTCTATTCCACCGCAATTAATCCCGTATTTGCTTAAACTAAAATAGTAGGTATTATTTGAATGTAAATCAGTCATATTTTAAGATATTTCCCTTCCTTTTCTTTCCTCAAAGCCCTTACGCAAATTAATTTAAAAAATTATTCAATCGAAAACACCGCCTACACTTTTAAAAATTTACTTTTTAAGTTACAATGCGACGATGCGAACTTCAAAAATAATTTTATTCTTGCAAATACAAATACAGTTGTTGCAAGTTTTGCTACATACGACCGCGCATTTATTGTGAGGTGCGCGATAATGTTGTAATGACCGTTTGCAACATTGGTGTGGCAAAATATATATTCACATGGTAGCTCTTTCTTTGTTTCTTGATATCAATCAACCTTTGACTCGAAATTTTTATTGTTTAATTGTTTCTTAAACTGGCACAGATCTTTTAAAGTTCTAATAAGCGTTAAGTAAAATTTGGACATGGTATTGGCGGTTATTAAAATGTCAACGATAAGTGATTTTAATAATAATGGATAAGTGATTTTTATTATATTTAATATATTTTTTATATTTTTTGGCCATACGTACAAGGCACATGGCTTTGCACACTATACAAAAGAATGTAAATTAAGTGTTTAAGTGCTTTATATGTGTGTATAAATTTCAATCTTTCAAAGAAGTAATCAAATGAAAATTTCAAGAGAAAATCGTAAAACCCATTATATTGTTAATTTTAAGTGCTGACTAACGTGTACAGCGGTGAAGGAAAACATAATAAGGAAAACCTGCATATTTTTGAAATAAAATATTTTGAATATATGCGAAGTCTACCAATCCGCAGTGATATCGTATAGGGCTACGCCCTAATCCTTACTAGTCCTTACTAGAATTATAAACGCGAAAGTTTGTATATATGGATAGATGTTTGTTACTCTTTCACACAAATACTACTGAATGGATTTTAATGAAACTTTACAATAATATAGCTTATACATCAGAATAAGACATAGGCTATAATTTATATACATATTGTATATCTGTCTTTCTGTCTGAATGTTACGCCTTCAGCCTATTCTACGCAGACGTAGTCGCGGGCAGCAGCTAGTACCCAGAGGAGCCTTTACCCAGCAGTAGGATATAAGATGTTAATTTACTTTGCTTTAAGAAAAATTAGCAGTAAGCTTATTGATAAAATGATTATTTTTTTATTTATTTATTATTTAAAGAGGTTTATCAACAATTGCTTACACTGGATACTTCTTGAAGATTACAATAAATAACTTAAGATTAAACATATATTATCGTAACAATTACTTAAAGATAAAAATCACAAATAAAAAATATAAAATTAAATCAAAAATTAAGTAAACAACTAAACTAAATTTAATAGTAGACGGTGCACGGGTAAAAAACATAACAACTTTTTTGACTATAACTGATTGAGGTTGTTATTGGCTAAATAGATAAAGCTATACATATTTTTTTTATTTTTTCAAAAGAGTCATATTGAAAATCAATGCGATCACTGTAGTCGTTGATAATTTTACAAAAATTAGCAAAAGGAGAGTTACGACCTAAAACTGTTCTTCGTAATGGAGGACAAAGCGGTGTGATGGCTTTGCGAAGAATTTGTGAAGGAACACGGAAATTAAGAAATTTTGTTTAGTTGAGGACTATCGATTTTGTTTTTTAAGATTTTGCTTTCAAACTCCGCATCATTAACTATTCTTCTACTTAACAGTGAGTTCATTTTGAAATACTGAAGTCTGTTTTTATATGACCGTACAGTTTTCGATTTTCCTACAGAGAAAGACAGGTGCCACATAAATCGCTTTTGTACTCTCTCTATGCGTAGTGAATGTGTAGCGTAGTGAGGTCGCCAGACAATACTGCAGTATTCTAATATACTTCGGACTAGATTGTTATATAATAAAACTTGTGTATTACTTAAAATATTGACAGTTTCAACCTCAATACCTTTGAAGATTTTTTGATGATGTTGTCTAAATGGGGGCCAAATGTTAACTTTTTATCGAAGATCACTCCAAGATCCCGTACCGTGTTAATAGTTAATAGTTTTATTATTAATATGATAATCAAAGTTTATTATTTTGCGTTTTCGAGAAAATTTTATATGACGACAATTTTCAGGGTTTAAATCCATTTTGTTACCTTTGCACCATTTAACAAGTTTATCCAGATCGCCCTGCAACAGTACGGTGTCCTGTTCTACGTTTACTATTTTTAAGAATTTCAAATCATCGGCAAACATGATAACTTCAGAGTGAGAAAAACATTCTGGGATGTCATTAATGAATATGTTGAAAAGTATTGGACCCAAAAGCGAGCCTGGCGGCACCCCTGAGGAGATAGGTTGTACTCTAGATTTATAACCATTAACAAACGAGTTTGGAAACCAAAAGTTGATAAGTAACTTTGTCGAATGCCTTGCTAAAATCTGTGTACCTATATTGTATCAGCCTGATATCCTGAGTCAATTGCTTCGGTTAACACTTCAGTAAAGTGGACTAAATTTGTATTTTTAGATCTTCACTTTATAAATCCATGCTGAGGACACTTAAGTACAATTTCAAGTGATTCTGTAAAAGAGGGCATCTTAAAGATTCGAATATCTTTGAAAAGGTGGAAAGAATAGAAATCGGTCTGTAATTAGTAATATTATCTTCAAATGCCGACTTGTAAATTGGGACAAGCTTGCCAGTCTTCCATATTGATGGAAATGTGGCAGTAGAAAGGGATTTATTAAAAATGTACGTTAATGGATAAGCTAGCTCGGATACACAATTTAAAATAAAAATAGGTGGGATTTCATCCGGCCCCTTTGGTACAATCTATGTTTTGGAGACTTTTGAGAACTAAGTCTTAGTTTAGGGTAGGAATTATCAAAATCATGCTATTATTAGACAAATGTCCTAAAATAATAAATTTGTAATAAATAGTAAAAATAAATGTAAAGCAACTTGGAGAATCATAAAAAATGAGACAAGCTGTGGGTATACTAAAAACTATATAAATAAAATAGTAAATAATGGAAAAACTTTAACGGAACCTACCGAAATAGCAGCCATTATAAATAATTATTTCATCAACACCACAAATCAGATGCGATATAAAATTGAAAATTCAACTGACATGAAGTTACCTCAATCAATTTTTCTGACCCCTATAAATAAGAACATTATCAAGAAAATAATAATGACTTTAAATAACACAAAATCTGAAGGCTATGACTCAATATGTACAAAAATAATTAAATCCTGTAATAACGAAATAAGTGAAATATTGGCATTTCTAATTAATGTCTCTCTAGAAGCAGGGACTTTTCCTGACAAATTAAAATTTTCAATAGTAAAACCGTTACACAAAAAGGGAGATAAAAGTGATATAACTAACTATCCCAATAGCAATAGTCCCAGTCCTTTCAAAATTATTCGAAAAAGTTATACACTACCAACTTACTTCCTTTTTCACTAAATTTTAATGTAATAAAACAAAATCAGCATGGTTTCATAAAAAAGAAATCGACAACACATGCTGCGTTTACGTTAGTAAAGGAAGTCTTGCAAAATGTGAATCAAAAAAATTATACAACAGTACTATTTCTTGATATGTCTAAAGCATTCGATCGTGTCTCACATGATCAATTACTTGCCAAATTAGAGGCTAATGGAATAAGGGGTCCTGCTTACAGCTGGCTAGAAAGCTATTTAAAAAATAGGTCACAGTGTGTTGAAATAACACAATTAGATTGAAATAACATAGCTTAGGTATATAGATCGGAATTCAAAAAAAACACTTTTGGCGTTCCCCAAGGTAGTATACTTGGACCATTGCTATTTATATTATATATAAATGATTTACCCGATGTCTCAAACTACAAAATCACTTTATTCGCCGATGACATCTCAGTGACGATTACGAAGAAAAAAATCACTAGAGCAACATAAAACAGACATAATTAAAACAGTGAATTTAATAGATAAATGGTTAAATAAAAATAATCTACACATTAATTTAAGTAAGACGCATATTATTAATTTTAATAACTTAAATTTTGACATAAATATTAAATATAATGGACAATTACTGCGGAATGCTAATAATACAACATTTCTAGGTTTAGTTATAGACTCTAATCTAAAATTGGAAGGAACATATACATAAAGTGTGTAACAAAATCAACAGATTTGTATACGCGTTACATAAATTAGCAAAAATATCAAACATAAATACGGCGATCACAGCGTATTTTGCACATATAGAATCTATTATCAGATACGGACTTATAATTTGGGGTAATGGCACAGAATGTAAAAAAGTATTTCTAGCTCAAAAGCGCTGTATTAGAGCTCTTAGTAACATTTCATCATATATATCATGCAGGACTTATTTTAAGACCCTAAATATACTT